TTTATTTACTTGATTTAGAGGGGGCAGCTGCCCCTCTGTCCGCACCCCCTTTGTCTGTGCCCAGGCTGATATGATACATAGGATATCACTCTATGTATGACTGTCAGATTCCTTAGAGTTTAATTGAGAACATTTATCAAAATTAGTTATTTAAATAACACAATTTAAGAACTATTTATAAAAGAAGCAGCATATGAAACACTGGAAGAATTTGCCTAGGAACATTTTAGTGCTTTAAATTATCATTTTCCATACATAACTATAGCTTTCCACACAAGCAATGGAAGCAAGATAATTCTTGAGAATTTTTCCAGAGGTAAATTTAGAAGGTTGACTAGAACTGCTCTCCTCACCATCTGAATGAACATAGTTCAAAGAATCTTACAAAAAACAACAACCCAACAGTTGTGAAGACATAATCATTAACCAACATCTGTACAGCCTGACCCTGCAAGTTTACTTGGAACAAGGCCTAATCAACACATGCAGCGGAACAGCACCTATTCAGACTGCAGGCAGGGAATCACATTTTAAAATGTTCCTGTATGTTAAAAGCTCCCTACAAATTAAAAACAACAATATAAAACAGTACAGCAGGCAAATAGATGAGCTAGACTAGTGCCTCTCTCCTTAATGGCCCAGTCTTCTGTTTCCAGGGTGTTTTGCCGGCTAACAGATTGAGTTTGAACCCTGACAAGACAGAAATACTGTTTTGGGGGGACAGGGGGAGAGCGGGTGGGGGGGCTCCCTGGTCCTGAATGGGCAATTGTGCCCCTGAAGGATCAGGTGTGCAGCCTGGAAGTCATTTTAGACTCACAGCTGTCCACGGAGGCACAGGTCAATTCTGCATCCAGGGCAGCTGTCTACCAGCTCCATCTGGTACGCAGGCTGAGACCCTACCTGCCCGCGGACTGTCTCGCCAGAGTGGTGCATGCTCTGGTTATCTCCCGCTTAGATTACTGCAATGTGCTCTACGTGGGGCTACCTCTGAAGGTGACCTGGAAACTAATCCAGAATGCGGCAGCTAGACTGGTGACTGGGAGTGGCCACCGAGATCATATGACACCACTCCTGAAAGACCTACATTGGCTCCCAGTACGTTTCCCAGCACAATTCAAAGTGCTGATGCTGACTTTTAAAGTCCTAAATGGCCTCAGCCCAGTATACCTGAAGGAGTGTCTCCATCCCCATCATTCAGCTGAGGTCCAGTGCCAAGGGCCTTCTGGTGGTTCCCTCACTGCGAGAAGCGAAGTTACAGGGAACCAGACAGAGGGCCTTCTTGGTAGTGGCACCTGCCCTGTGGAATGCCCTCCCACCAGATGCCAAGGAAATAAACAACTATCTGACTTTTAGAAGACATCTGAAGGCAGCCCTGTTTAGGGAAGTTTTTAATGTTTGAAGTTTTATTCTGTTTTTAGTGTTCTGTTGGTAGCCGCCAAGAGTGGCTGGGGAAACCCAGCTAGATGGGCGGGGTATAAATAATAAAATTATTATTATTATTATTCAAATGAAATGTTCTCTAGTTGTCATATCTAGCAACACTGTGCATTCTATCTTCTCTGCATTGCATTACCTTATTCAGATGCATTTGGTCCAAATCCCATTGTGTTCAATAGGAATTATTGTTGTTTAGTCGTTTAGTCGTGTCCGACTCTTCGTGACCCCACGGACCAGAGCATGCCAGGCACTCCTCTCTTCTCAAGGGGAATTACCCTCAAGTAAATAACTGCAGTCTTACCATAGCTGCAGAGGGGGGCAGGGAGAGAACCCTCTTCTTGTCTAATAAGCACAAGGAGACTGTGAAAATACAATGTTGGTCCAGAACTCCTCTAACTACAGAACTCCTCTTCTGCACTTTGGACATTAGAGCTTGGTGCTAGGTCTGTTAACAAAGGTATCAACGGCATTCATTGCTACTACAACACATGCTGCAAGTGGGTTGTTGCCAAATATAAGCCTAAACTAATATTTTGTAAAAATGAAATCCACTTAACGGGGAAAAGATACTTCTCATCAGCAAACATTCTTCTACAACACCAAATCTTATGTTCAGATTCTTAGCATATCAGTGCACTTATTAAGAGGAGCAAACCCATGATCCTTAATTTATTATTGGTAATGATTTCTGTAGATATGGTATTCAAGATATGGTTCTGGTAATCAAACATAAGCAAAAAGAAAAGCAAGCCAGATCCCATGGTCACCAGCTGCAGTTTTACTATAGTTTCTAACTCTGGGACAGTGATAGCGTTCCATGGCAAAGACTCTTGTTAAATGTGCCAAGATGTAGTTGCAGATATTTTTCTCAGAGCAGCTTCTGTTTTACCTCTGTACATGCCTGCTGGATTTTGGAATGTGTCTTGCGGTTCCTGGATTGTGTAGATAGGCTGATGTTCTAAGAGTAAAACAATTGACAGCAGACCATGGTTGGTAGTGGTTTTATGTAAATGCCCCAGAGATGCTTCCACAAGCTTCAGATGATAGCTACACTTTAAAAAAGAGGTTCTTAAATGATGAAAATAGACTGGTGGCCTATTGACACTGAGATGCAATTTTGGGGTTTTTTAAAAGATATCCCCCCGCCCCCATGCTAGTTTTCTTCAAAAGGTTGGCATATGGCAAATATTTGTGTTTATTCCCATAGCTTTTGGGATCAAAGTTGCTGTGGTTAAAAGCAAAATTGTGAATGATAGAAATGCCAGCCTTTTTTCATTCTATGTTGACAGCATTATGGTTGATATATCCCCACTTTTATTTTTGAAGAAATCAATAATGGCAGTCTCCACCGAACAAGTGGTGTTCAATCAGATACGCACAAGAGATACACAGCTCTTCTGAAAGTTATTGCGGTTACATTCCTTCCAACTGGAAGAATTGTGTATTACAGGGCTTGACTGTTGAAAGCTCATCCTGTATATGCATCAAGTGATAGCCTTTGAGGCTAACAGAGCTACTTGAAGGATGGGAGTTGTAGTCCAAAACATCTGGAGAACACCAGACCACACTTTAGGGAGAAACCATAGCTACATGCAGTACAGTGGTACCTCGGGTTAAGAACTTAATTCGTTCCGGAGGTCTGTTCTTAACCTGAAACTGTTCTTAACCTGAGGTACCACTTTACCTAATGGGGCCTCCCACTGCCGGCGCACAATTTCTGTTCTCATCCTGAAGCAAACTTCTTAACACGAGGTACTATTTCTGGGTTGGTGGAGTCTGTAACCTGAAGCGTCTGTAACCCGAGGTACCACTTTATCTTGGGTCTCTGGTATGCTGTCCATAGACAGCAGTGTCCTCAGATATCCCTCTTAGCACCCATCAAGGTATCATGCCCCTCCCAGGTTTTTTAAGAATGGGGGGTTAGAAAACTTTGTTTAAAACATGGGTGGTGGGGGGCTGGCTCAAAAGCCAAATGAAAGCATCCAGACACAACACCTTACTTCGCTTTCCCCGGAATGCCTCTGACTGGTGTTTTATAACTGCTTTTGGTAGAGGTTGTTTGGTTGCAGTGTCTACTTATGTTTTGTTTGGTTCTTCTTTTCTTTAGTTTGTGGATGAAATTGCCTAGTTTTGCTTGGGAGTGTTATGCAAGTTTTGGGGGTGTTACCTGCTTTTTGGCTGTCTCCATTTTGGTTTTGGAATGGGTACATTTTGTGTGGGGGGGGTGTTCTGAACATCAGTTTTCCCTCTATGTAATGGGCAGTTCTTGGTGCTCATTACAGCTTCCCAAAAAAGTTGAGAACTCCGAGGTTACAGGATGTGCAATGTTTGGTATTCCAGATTTCTGTTAGAACTTTTGCACCCCACGGATTCTGATGACGTGTTGCACGGTGCTAATAGGCGAGGCCTCCAGAAATGCATATAGTTGTGTAAATATTTTTCAAAAATGAACAAAAAAGGAGGGCATACCCTGATGAAGCAGAATGTTGCCATCTGGAGAGTCATGGCAAAATAAATAAACCGATTGCTCTATGTAGTATGTGTATTCTTACTGCTGAAATTCAGTATAGTTGCACTTCAGAAATTACCAGTGGAGAACACTGCTGAAAACATCTGAGGCCCGAATTATGGCTAGGGGTGCGGGGGGAGAGGATATCAGGTTAAAGAAGGGAATCAATCTACCATAAAGGTTTCCTGTGCATGCCCTATTCAAATAATTAGCAGCTATAGTTTGCAAAGACTGGGTTATGTCCAAAGTCTAAGGATCAAAAAATGTTCCAACTTGTTTCCTGGGTGCTACATTAGCAGAAAGTGAATCTCAATCAATATGCTCCGTAAATGCTGTTTTTACAGTATCTCTATTAAGGTTCATCTATCTTAGATTTTCAAACTGGATTCAATTCACATCCAATTCGCTTGTTGCTCCTATTCTTGTGGTATAACGACCCATGAGACCTGAGGGTAGTTCACTGTGAAAATAAAATAATCAGCACAATAGTTTTCTCTTTCAATGATAAAAGGGAAATTAAGGCTGCTGTCCTAAACACTGTTACATAAGAGGATGTCCCACTAAACTCATAGGACTTAGCTCGATGTAGATAGCCACAGGATTGCAGACTGATATACAAAACAGTGAAACAAACTGGATATACAAGACAGTGCAATAGACAGCAGAGTCTTTGACTCTCAAGAGTACAATAGACAGCAGAGTCTTTGACTCTCAAGAGTACAAAAAGGAAAATGAATATGTTGGCGCAATTCTTGCTTTTTAAAGTTATGGGAAGGTCTTCCTAACATTGAAGACATTTCAAAATTCTCACTTAATGGAATAGAAAAGGACCTCAATCTATCAGGCAGTGTGTAAACATAAATTCCAAAGTATGAGTGAAATTCTATAGAGAAGTGGTTTTTCTATTGAGAGATCTTATTACACAAGTACATTCAAAATATCGATTCTAAAGTAAGGACCTGACCCCACCACAGAGAATGTGAAGATACCTTAATATATGCATTAAGTACAGGGATACGTTTTTAGGGGGGGGGACAAAGTAAGTAAGAGAAATAAAGATAAAACGGTATCTAGTTTATTATGTATAGAAAGAGATTTCCAGAATTTACAAACACCCACGTATTTCATTCCAGGGATATTTTGATTTAAAGAGTTCGCCCAAGTTTCATTCTTCTTCTTCTATATATATATACAATGGAAGACTTAGATTTGTTTTTCTGATGTTTTCAAAGTTCCTGTGCAACCAACAATTTAAAAACCCACACTTGTAAATACCATGCACAGTTCATTTGCCTTTTCATTAATACAGCCTAATGTTTTACAGGAACAATACAAAATATTATTTTATTTTTGAAAGAATTCAGCTCAGCCACAGGGTTATCTTACAAATCATTAGATTGGTAAATATGACTGTACAATCCAGATCCACGGGCCCATTGATCCATATTATATTATATTCTGAATTACAATCTTAAAAAGAATAGTACCCTACTCTATTCTTAAATCGCCTTGTTTTTTAACAGTTTCCCCCACCCCAACCCCACTCTGTTTACAACAGAATATAGTATACCTCAGTTCCACATCAAAAAAAGATGTGCTGTAGGAAAAGTTACATTTTTAATTAAAAAAGTACATGTATAAATCAAAAACCTATGTTAAATATTTAATACTCTTCAACCAACATTAACAGTTTGTATGTAATAATTTACACTGATGATTTGTCGTACAGGTTTTTCAGCAGCAAATTAAAATGTCATGTCTTATGCAAATGAGCTAGTAGCATGCCCATTCTCACCATTTTAAAGTGGGCACATGAGTTCACTGTAGCCAGCTAAGTCTTTATGGTAGAGGAGTAAGTAATCATAGACTCATTGTCCAGGTGTCACAGTGCTTTTGCTTGGCACACACACACACAAAAAGAATAAGAAGAAGTAAAAGAAGAATGTGCAGTTCAGTCAACTAACTCCTGAGGTTTGTGTAAAGTAAACAAATTGAACTGGATGCATCGTACCCATCTACTGGGGAAGAAGATGTGAGGTCCTAGTTGTGATACACAAAACAGAGTCTGGATACTCATGAGTTCCAAGAAGGATATTCTGAGGTTGTATAGGTCATCGATCTGAGAATAAAAGAAAGAAAGTTCATGTAAAACATCTAGCACCATAAGCAAAGATTAACAATAAAAGCTGATGCAATGCTCATACATCTTTTGCAGCTATAAGGACATCTGCAAAAATGACCATTCTGAATAAAGGTCTACATATTACATGCATGTCATTCCATGATTCTTTCTTGGAGGGTTGTTTGAACAGGTAAAGGAGATCTTGGTCAGGGAGGGACAAAGAGAAAATGGCTTAGGGGAAGGGCAAAGGTCTGGGAATTCCAAGTGTGAAATACCCTCTTTGTCTTCTCAACCCACCTCATCCAATCTCCACCCAAGCTAACATCACTTGCAGATGCCTTTATCCATTAAAAACAACAACACATTTTCAGAGTGCAATAATAATGGAACTGTACATAACAGGCAGTTGACTCTTCTGTTACAAGTACACACTACAATTGGTCAGACATCCAATCATCTATCAGCTCTCATGTTATGTTATTACATAGGGTTGGAGCCAGAATTTCCATGAACACAACTTCACTCACAGGACACTCCTGCTACAGTAAAGGAAGAGAGATGGTTTTCACTAGTTTCTCATCCCCCCTGCAGCCCCTTGTAAAACTTTTCTGGAGGGCTGGAGAACCTTCTGGAATGAAGGCACAGGAGGCTGCAAAAACTGCCTTTCCTCCCTCCAGCAGGAGTTCCCACTGGATCTCAGTCCATTCTGCCAAAAGAATGAGTATTTCAGCATCCAGAAGGAGCACTCCAGGTCCAGTGCATAGTTTGTAAGTTGAAGTAAAGTAGGGCTGGGAATGGGGGGATATTTTGCCTTGTAAGATTCAAAGCTAAACACCAAGGATAATTGTAGAGTTTTTGTGCACATTAGACGTGATGAGTGGTGTAACTCAAGGAACCCAAGGATAACAAATGCAAATATGGATCATTGCTTCTAAACCAGAGGGCAAAAAAATCACTAATAGAAAGGTGTTTTCTGGTACTGTACCTGGTTATTATTCTTCCTTATGTTAGCTTAGCTTTTTGATGCCTACAAACCTTCACAGAGCCTAGAAGGACTTTCCCAAAACCTGTCTGGCAAAAATGTGAATCAAAATTCCTACAACTGCTGAATTTGTTTTGAGTCGACTGCAGTGAATGATTTGCCTTTAAACGTTTTGCAATTCTCAACTAAACAAACCAAATTGCTTACGTCAAGTCTTAGATGTGTAAGAGTACCTGTATGTATTTTAAAGACTGTTTGTTCCTAGAAATAGAAATAGAGCATTATCCTGCTTTAATAAAATGTTGAGACTTTCCACAGAGACATGGAAAGACTGAAAAGATTGCCTGTGCTTTATGCGCTAATTGCTCAAGAAACCAAATTTATTTTGTATGGCCCTTCACGTGAACAGGAAGCTTCTCCTTGCAAATGTGTGGTATGTTGTGAATAACACCCTAGAGAATTCTCTCACAGATCTTTTTACATACTTTCAAGCTTTCTTCTGAACTCCTGTTGCCAATCTACAGAAAAATCCCAACTGGAATATCTATAGGAAATTTAACATAGCTTCACAGCTTTAAACTGTGTTGGGCCTAAAATTAAGGTAGTACTGCCATATTTTATTTAAAAGGCTTGTTAACAAAGAAAGAAATGGCCTCATTTAAACTGGGAAGGAGCTAGGTGTACATGGTTTGCTTTTCGTTTCATATCTGGCTCCCTTCCAGTATGGCTGAATGAACAAGCTTAGCGCAGGAACAAACTGTACCCAACAGAATGGTCACATGCTCTAACCTGCAATGGCTATACAATCACAGAAACAGAGAGTGAAACGTATAGCTCTGCTACGCAGGACAAAGATTGTTGTTCTGAGATGTTTTATATAGCACCACACTTCAGCTAATGTTGCTCTCATCTACTTCCTCTCTCCAAACATGACTGAAGGTACTTGGAAAAGAAGAGCAACGTCTCTCCAGGGTGGAGAAAAATCAATATTTTTTAAATTTAGATTCTTAATGTAAGTGTCCTTTAAGAATAACCTGCTTTAAATCTATATCAGTACATAATACAAAACAAACATTCAAGTCTATACTAGCCACCACTTAAAACTAATCCATGGCCCTATATTTTGTCTGAGTTAAAAGCTGTTTTCTATGTAAAATGTGTGTGTGGAGAGGGGACAAGCAGAACAAGAAAAATGTGTGACTTCTGAGGTTTATCATCATAAAAATAACAGTCAGTTGTGTACTCTGCATATCGTTGTTCACTATGAGTATTTAAACTGTCCTGAAATTCCCCAAGAAACTGGTGCTGGTTTTAGTCCTGCATAAGTATGCATATATCATTTCTGTGCAAGTCCGGGGTTCTGAAAATTCTTGAGAACAGTAACTGGCTTGGTTTTATTTCTAAGTAAATACTTAGAAACACCAAGCAAACACACAGGACTCCAAACACACACACACACACACACACACACACACACACACACACGATCTCTCGATGATCCCATGGTCAGGACAGGAAACCATGGGTTTGTCTCATCTGTAATTAAAATTTGCAATGTACATCACAATATTGGCAACCCCTTCCGCTTCTGCAACGCCTTCTATCTGTCTATATATAATACCTGCTTTTTGCAATGAGTGTCCAACATGCCTCATTGTGAGCAGGAGTTTAGTGTTGCTACATTTACCAAAATATTTTACAGCTGGCTCAAGATGATATGTTCTGCTCACGTATCCCATGCTCGAATAGCAAGGTATTGCCTACTGGTGATATATAAACACAAGATTTCTGCATGGGAAATCAGAATTTATCATGGACAAATCACCATTGTTAACAGTTTGTGTACTTTTGCAGAACCCAATATGGAAGAAAGAGCACACTAGTTGCTTAAGGGTATTTGCACGGGTAGGCAAACTAAAGCCTGGGGCCGGATCAGGCCCCATCGCCTTCTAAATTGGAATCAGCGTGTTTTTACATGAGTAGAATTTGTCCTTTTATTTAAAATGCATCTCTGGGTTATTTGTGAGCATAGGAATTTGTTCTCCCCCCCCCAAAAAAATATAGTCCAGCCCCCCACAACATCTGAGGGACAGTGGACCAGCCCCCCGCTGAAAAAGTTTGCTGACCCCTCGTCTAGAGTAATATCATTGGGCAATTAATATGCTGTTTAAAGCCTAGACACACAGAACAACTTCTGAAAATGAAGCAACTGAGAAGCAGCATGAGATGCAACCTTGGCATGCTTCTTGCACATCTCCCACTGCACAGCACAACTTTTACAGAAAAATAACAAAACACTGAAAAAGGAATTTAGCATGTGCAATCATGTAATTCTCAGGTATAGCTTTAGAGTGGTATATAAATCCATATTATTATATATCCTGACATATAATAGATGAATATACTGGGGGGTTTTTTGGCAACTTGACACATAAGATTGTTCACTTCTTTCTTGAGAGCCACCCCCACATACAGGTTTATCATTTAACACCAAATAGTGTTGCTTTCTGAATGCTAAATATGGGGAAATCTTCTTTTGGTAAGATTTTAATGTGGGCTTTTCAAAACTGCAGTACAGCAACACCCTATGATTTAAGCTGATCTGATCCACACATACAATACAAAATAGTGTTGCCTTGTGGACATTTGATATGTTATTAATATGTAGTGGATGCTGCCTAAGAAACTAATCGAAAACTTCTGAGACGATTAGAAGTACTCCCATCTTTTAAAAATCAAAATTCTCTCCTCATTAATAGTAAATGAATTGTATAAGATGTTGAGTAAGTTTGGAGCAGAGCGTCTTTCCCAGCATAAGTTAGTGTTTGGATACCCCTATTGTTTCTTATCAACAAAGATCAGTGTTTCCTTAACAACGCGTAAAACTGTGCAGAGGACAGGAGTTTTAAGAGAGGGTTCTCTGACTTCAGTGTGTTGTGGTAAGGGTCGTTAACATTAATGACATCATTGTTGGCAGCTTGAAAATAGGGAAAACCTGTGTTTAATCCATTTCCTACTCACCACAGGCTTCAAGCTGGATTCCCCAATAATATGGCTTTGTGGCTGACTTTATGGAAGACATTGGTAATGCAAGAAAAATGTACTGGGGGGGGGGAGCCCTAACTTGCATCTTATACTACAAGCTACCTTTGACAAGTGGTCTCTGCTCAACATCTGCTGCAAAATACATGAAGATAACACTAATGCATGATCCAGCTGGCAAACCATTTCCCTTTTTCAAGGCTGTTCAACAAGAGGGATATAAGGCATTTACGTCATGTGCATAGTGCTATTGAAGTACACTTTAATATTACAAATATTCACATTGTTTACTGAAGGAGCTTATTCACATTCATCTGTAAGGCTACAAAGACCCTAAGCCCTTTTCTTTAAAGATCTCCTCAAGCCATTCAAGCTCCTGATGGGTATTCCAACTAAACACCAGGATGAACTTTCTGACAGTAAGAGCTGTTCGACAGTGGAACAGACTTGCTTGGAAAGTGGTGGACTCTCCTCCCTTGGAGGTTTTTAAGCAGAGGTTGGATGGTCATCTGTCATGGATGCTGTAGTTGAGATGCCTGCATTGCAGGGGGTTGGGCGAGATGGCCCTCAACATCCGTTCCAACGCTCCCGATTCTACGATTCTATTCTAGGGTACAACTTTCACATAGGCATTGTAACAAGAATTGCTGCGAAATCAAGTGGAATCTTCTTTTTCCAAAGACTGGAAATGTGTCGACGTTTTATTCACCCATTACTTCTTGCCCAACTAAGAACATGCTTCCTAGGTGTCTTTAAACCTAACGTTTTTCAAAACGATGAAAACGCACTTACAAATCAAGAGATAAGCAGCAGCAACTTTGTTTTCCTTCCTTGCCTACTCAGGCTGATTCCCATGGGCCACCCAAGCTCAGCAATCAGGGCACAACTTCTAGACCCAGGAAGCTCGTGCGCTGCCATTTATTCTGAAGTAGGTCTCAATTTCCTCTAAGCCTCTGGGAAGCAGCCTGGTCTGGGAAAGCATACAAGCACTCGCCCAAGCATAGGCCTACCATGGGATTCCTCTTCTAGCACAGACCCTCACCATGGCTCTCCTGAGGAGTAACTTGCCTCCTAAGTGGCTAGGAAGCAAAGAGTTCCTTGGAGCAGAGATTAAATAAAAATGTAAAAATAAACCATAATAATAACCTTGTACCCAGAATTCACTTGTATCTGGCAGCCTAAAAAATTAATTAAACCCATTCATGATCCTCGACTGTTATGTTCTGGCCAGCAAGGTTGCTGGACAGCTCTGATGGATCAACTTCCTCTGACAAAGTCTGAGAGTAGACTGAGGCCTTTCATGCCCCTGTTTCCAGACTACCTTCTCCAGGCTCCAACCCTCTGGCCTGAAGACAGGCACCTCTTTCATTCCATAGCCTCCCTCCTGGTGCACTCCCAGCGCTGCGGGGCTGGTGATGTGTGATGGGAGATATCTGGTTCTTCAGGCTCCAGGGAAGAAGTCAACGAGGTGTCCAGACTCTGTTCCAATAGGCCTTGGGGGTCTGGGAAGTTCCTCTGGGAGTTCTTGTCCAACCTGCTCAGGCACAATGGCCTCCCTATTTCCCACAGCTCTGAGCTCTGGCCCAGACCTGGTTCCCCCTCTGGTATCCCTGCAGCCTCTGGATCTGCTGGTTACATGGGTCATGACATCCTCTTCTCTTCCCTTCCCAAGTGCAATGGTCACTAGTTGTCTGCTATTCCCTCACCCTTATAAAGCAATTCAGGTTGCAATCCTACGCAATTACCTGGGAGAAATGATAATTGAGGTGCATGGGACTTACATCTGAGTAGACTTGTAAACGTCATCTGTATATTTGTCCTTCTGTAGTCGTAAAGCATAAAGATCTTGCAACCCTAAAGCTTTTCCTCGGAATCACCGAGTTAAGGATTGAATAGGATATGATGATGGGAGATATGCCCAATTATGTCTTAATATAGTAAACTTTCTCAGTTGAGAGGTGGCCTATTTCTTTCTAAATCTGGCCTTGTATAAAGGTAAAAAGAACAAACTAAAGCCCTTAGGAGTTTACTGAGTGAGACTATGAGGAGAAAGGAAGGTGGTATGCAAGTACTCTCAAGTGTTAAGAGATAGGCAGAAGTCGCTGAACACAGAAGTCAGGGTACAACCAGGGAGAAAAGTAAAAAAATGTAGAGTTGGAAAGGATGCCAAGGGTCATCTAGTCCAACCCCCTGGAATCCTGAAATTAATCTGCTATTGGGATGGAAAGGAGTCACCATTTAGGATGCTTTTAAATAATTCACTGTAAGTAACTTCAAAAATCATACAAAGACCTACACAGAAACAGGATGAGCTGTTCCTTTCTTGCTCAAGCAAGACGCTCTTATGTGGAAGTACACAGGCCTCTCGATTTAGCTATCAAGGTATTTTGGACTTCAGTGGGATTAACCTCGAAAGCAGCATGGAATTACTTAATCAGCTCACGCAGCAAGAGTTGAACTTGCTGGTGCACGTTTTCCCTACAGTTATTGTATACTTCACAGTATCTGTTTCTGCACTACTTTCTCAAAAGCACTAGCAACCTCCATTTCAATAGATGACGTGAACAAATTTAACAAATAAATACATTTTACATTTTGAAGTAAATATAAAGTTAAAGGAGCACTTTAATTAATGAAGGTCAAACAGACACAAGTCCAATTTTGATCAAAACATTAAACCATGAGGACACAGCTAACGGAATCTGAATCAGATGGGATAAAACAACAAACATATTGCAGAGCCCCAGGTAATGTTTTGGATACAGCCATGGATAAAATTAAAACCCATTTGATTATGGCTCCTCATACCAAATATGACTGAATAGAGGTATGTTAAAGCTATCTGCCTGCTAAATCATTTAGTGGCGTTAGCAACGTTAACAAAATGATATTAACGGAATCTCTCACTTTTGGTGGTGGAAATTAGGTGGGAAGAGTTGGGTGGAAAACTGGTGAGGTGCAAGATTAGCAAGCTAAAAACACACACGCACACATATCAAATACATCATCATTTCTGTCTGCCTTGCTTTTGCCGCTGGAAACTAATTATCCAAATACAGAAGTCCTCTTCAGGCAGAGAGGTCATGCACATAAGCCCTGTTCTCAAAACGCACACCCCAGAAACAGCCTCAAAGAGGCTTCTAACTATAGACAGCTGAACTCTGAGCAATCAAAAATGTGGTTAAAAGCTCCCTTCAGACTTCTCTGTTCAGCCTGTTTAAGACCTTCCCATACACTCACTTACTTACTCTTTCTTTCTTTCTTTCTTTCTTTCTTTCTTTCTCTCTTTCTTATATACCAACAATCTGACTGGGTTGCCCCAGCCACTCTGAGTGGCTCTCAAAAAAATATTAAAAACACATCAAAACACCAACCCTTAAAAACTTCTGTGAAAAGAACTGCCTTCATGTGTCTTCTAAAAGTCAAATACCTTCACAACCACTGCTCCCACCATTCCTGACTGCTGAACATGCTGGTTGGGGCTAAGGCAAGCTGGAGTTCAACAACATCTGGAGACTCACAATGGCATTTCCTTAATTGTAACTAAAACCTATTCTTGCCAGAGCACATACAAGTCATATCATATGTTTACAGTATTAACTTGTAAATGAAACAACTTATTAAAACCAGCCGTCAGACAACCCACTTGGTGCAGACTACTCATCAATTAAAAATATGCAGTGTTACCCTGCCTCCCACCTATGCTTTGAACTCCAGTACAAAGCAGATGCTTTTCAGCCTTACGGTAAAGAAAAAAAGCACCCAACTTGCCAAGACACCTTGAGCTGGCAAGTCTCCCATCAATGTTTATATCAAAATGTTGGGCTGCCATAATCCCTGGCACAAACTCTCCTCTAGAAATGCAAGGATCACCAACAAGTTGATATGCTAGCTTAGGATGTTTCAAAACCAAAATCTCTCTCTCACACACACAGAAAAACTGAAAACATACAATGGAAGTTACAGTAAAGGAGAATCCATCCCAAAAATGCTGGTGGAGTTATTTTATATTATTATTAATGCCCAATGTGTTTTGGCACAAAAAAAGTCTCTCCCCACCACCATATTTTTCTCTGGTTTCTTTAGTTCTGATGGTTTTGAGCCGTTTACAATGAAGCATTAAGTTCTTATGTTTATATATGGAAGAGGAAATATTTTTTAGTGTCACTAATAAGGGGAATTATGACAATGAGGGCCTTACAAATATGTGACTTTTGAGATTGGGTTTCAAAGGGGGTGGGTGGTTTGTTTTGAAGCATGATTAACTGTTGTCCTATCTTTTTGTAGAAACGTCACAGAGGAAGGCATTTATGGGCCAAACACATTGGGCATTAATAACAGCATTACCCCTCAGCATCCTTGAAACTGATTTCCCCTTTATTTTCATCATCCGTTTAGGATGACTGATGCTATCTGGTATTCATATCAGGGACTTCACTGATCACACAAAACAAAGACTCATCACACAAATAACCATGTGCTATGAGTTTAAACTCAAATATTGCTTTATTTCCATCATTTCTCGGGACTGTGGCAAGTCTCCATCTCTCCTGCCCAACTGCATTTTCGGATCCACTTTGATGTTGATATAGAATTCTGACATCTGCTACTTGTTGCAGCATCCAAGTTGCCCCAGTTACATTTGCCCTCTACCTGCCCATAAAACTGCACCAGGTGCCTATGTGTCCTTCAGTAACATCATCGTGATGCCACAATGCATGATAGGAAACACCGTATTCTGCATGATAGCACAGAAGGTGGTGAAACCTTGCTATAAATAACCATGTATTCAAAAGCAGGTGTCTACTGTCCTGAATATAAGCCTCACTTTCCCTCAAAATTCTGACAGTGAAAAGTTAAAGTGTGGATTATATTCACGACCTTACACCGCCAGCAAAGTGGTGCGGCTCCCCCCCCCCTCCGAAGCAGCCCGGGAGCACTGGGCAATGGCGCTAGCCTGCCCACCGCTACCAAGCCTCCCCTGAGCTGCTGGAAAGAAGGGGGAAGGCCACTGGCAAAGCAGTGTGGCTATTCCCCCCCCCAAAGGAAGCAGCCCGGCTATTCCCCCCCCCCATCAATTTTAAAGATGTGGCTTATTTGCGGGTGTGGCTTATATTCAGGCCAATACGGTATATAAAGATCTAGAAAAGAGGATTCTTAGGTGTAAAAACAAACACAAAATGTCAAAGATTCATAGAGTTGGAGCAGGGCCTTGGACGCGATCTAGTCCAATCTACTCATGCTCGGCTTTATGTGGGGAGAGTTTATCACCTTCTCCTCCACTGAAGTGTTAAATAAAGTAATTGATTTATAGTAGTAGCATGTGCAGTTTGTACTGATGAAAACATCTTAGGATAGAGGCCACTGCAAAATAGTGAAACGAGGTTGTATAAACAGTTGCAAACTATTATTTTTTTTAGTAAGTATCAAGTCTACAAGTTGAATGCATTATCTTGGATTGCACCCAATATAGAGGTCAGCTTCTGTCTGCGCCAAAATGAGCATTAGCCTTTTTTTTGGAAGCCAGCACAGGGCCCACACCGTAAAGTCAGCATTGATAAAGGCCGCTGTATAAAAAGATAACCTTCATAATGATCTACTGATAAGTATGCCTCCACCTGTTGTTAAAAGGCAGTTTGTGCTTTTATGCAAAGAGCTCTGACCTTCTATCCGGTTATTTATTCCAGAGTCAGCGCTGTGGTATCTGACTTTCAGAGAACAAGCGATGCCCCAACCCCATTGTAATTATCACAGTTTTGTTCTGGTTTGAGTCATTCATACATTCCTGAGTCACACACTTTCCATGCCAGTAGTGCAGGAAGCAGCTACATGGGAGATGCCCAGCATTTCGTAAGACAGGGATGAGGGCCCTGCCTCTCTCTAGAAATGGTAAGACTACAACTCTCTTCATCCCTGACCATTGCCTTGCTGGCTGGGGCTGGCTGGTATGCGAGTCCAACAACATCTAGATAGCCAGTTTCCCTGTCCCGGAACAGCAGAATTAGTAATAATTTCCCCCTGGAAATCCATAGTTTTGAGCTGGTTGCCCTTACGTTCTACCTATGATCAATGCCCATCCCATCATATGTATAAAGTATCCATCTGCACCTTTAACACATCTTCACACGAAGATCTTTTGATCATCCCGTAAGAGGAAGAGAAGTCCTTCCTTCCTTCCTTCCTTCCTTCCTTCCTTCCTTCCTTCTATGGGATGATCAAATTCCATTTTGCTCCCAGCTGCATCCCATAAGTGTGGCATGTTGGCAAGATACCTTTGCATTTGTCTTTCATTAAGCAATTTAAACTAAGAGATGGAGTCCAGTCATCGACATAATGCTTTTACAGGAAACCTCACCAATACTTTATCCAATGACATGAATACTTTCTTAAGCCTAATGGAAAGGTTTAACCAGTAGCCATAAACTCCAGCTTCCTCATCCCTGCCCCTCAGCATAGGTCTGATCAGCACATTGCATAAGCAAGAAATTCACACAGTACTGCTGCAACTCCCATGACTGAGGGTGCACATTTTGACACTTCCCACATAAAGGCCACAAGAGCTCTTGCTTCTGGCTCAAACACAACATTGCTCATGCATCTAAACCACTGGTGTGAGGGATAGCTGTATCAAAACAGCAGCCTGTTATAATTTTGAGACTAACCAAGATTTCAGGTTTCTTGCATTTTCCTCTGGTGTTTCCAGCTGATGAATTCTAGGCTGGAGAGTGTTCATTATTATTCCCCAAGGGCAAGCCATTACACTTTGTACTAGTAAATGTCAACCCATTTCGTCTACAAGTTTGTTCATCCCAAATACATTTTCCAACCAGCAGCTTCTCAGTAGACTTTATCAAAGTTGATCACAAAGCTAAATGGGTCCCCAAACCAATCCTAGATCATTGCTTTCCCACTTGAACCCTTCAGCACTTCTTTCAAATCATAAAATGTTGGTGTTCTAGTTTCAGAGTATGAGTTATTAGTGCAGAATCTGCAACTTGTTCAACCATGTTAGCGATGAGACACCCAGCTTCCTTATTAGCAGTTCCAATTGATTCATGTACACTGATGCTACAGTACTTAGCTCTTGTTTGTTTGTTGTACTCCATATTACTTATTCCTCCAAGGTGCACAAGCTACATACATAAATTTCTGTGCTTCCGTTATACTCACAACAACTCTCTCAGGCATAGGCAAACCCGGCCCTCCAGATGTCTTGAGACTACAATTCCCACCATCCTTGACCACTGGTCCTGTTAGCTAGGGATGATGGGAGTTGTATTCCCAAAACATCTGGAGGGCTGAGTTTGCCTATGCCTGCTCTAAGGTAGGTAGGCTGAGAGAGAGTGCCTGGCCCAAAGTCAATCCATGAGTATATGGCTGAGTGGATATTTAAAATAAGAATGTTCTGATCCTGGTCTAATACTCCAACTACAATGCTACACTTGTCTTATGCAACTGAATCTACCTGAATTATTGGACTACCATACCCATATCTAGACATTGTCCGGCAGCTGTAATCCCAGTCTGCTACTGCTTGAGGACCATCTATAAGCCCATTAGATCATGCCACCAAACAGAGCTAGGTAGAGCTAAAATCCTAACCTAGAAATCCTGTCAACCCTATGTCAAAAAACAATGTTCAAAATGCTTGTAGACACACTTTTTTTTACTCCTTCAAGTCACACAAATACTATGGTAACCCATGTTCACAACAACTCCTTTATCTGCTCATTCGGACATGTGCTTATACTGGCACAATTCTCTGGACTTCTACTTTTTTATATTTGTGCTTCTGCCCATTTAAATTATAAAAAGTCCTTAGTGCTGACACAGTATCTTCATTTATACCCAGAACAAAGCACACTGCTGACATCTGAAAATACTCCTTAGGCCTGTACCAGTTTGAGATCTGCAGATGAAGGGTGTGGCATAATGTGGTCATGTCCATTACTGCTATCTCCAAAAGCTTTCTTTAGCCAAACCCACTAGAAAAAAGAACTATAAAAATCTATCAACAGCAGAGTCCTATTAATCCAAAATTTCACACTACTGCTCAGGTTGCTAATATCCCTTTAGGGCTATTGCTTTCAACACACACACACATGTGTACAAGGCATACATGTACACACATGTACAAGGCTGGTTACAAGGCAGAGATTCCGTTTTTGCAGCAAATGATACCTTATATTCTTAACTGTTGCTAGCACAAACTTATATCCCTGAATAAATATGTGTTATTCACAATAATGGTATACCACTCTTGATTAGTCTAGTTATTATTGATAATATGATATGAACTATGATCAGGATGTATACATGGCCAAGGGACATGGTGTTATTTGGTCATTTACATGGGACTTTTAACAGATATTGTAAATGAATTCATCACAAGCTCTGGGCGAGATCAAGTGTCCTGTTTTGAAGATCATATTATAATGATACTTGATATAAATGATGTCATACACTACTTGTGTCATCCAAGTGGAAAAAGAAACTCCTACACCTGCTGTATCATCACTACCAAAGACATGGTCAATGAGAAGCGATTTCACAATGGAGCTGTAATACAATATTTGTACACAACTTTCACCTTTCAATCACTGTAAACAGCTTATTCTTTTCCAGCACATTCCTGGTGCATTACAACGAACTATAGGTAGGTTTCTGACACAAGTTGCCTATGTTCTTTCTAAAATTTGTATTAAACAGCTATTAACATTGTGTTTTAATGTTAATGTTGTGTTTTAATTGCTGTAACCAGCCATGGGATCTTAGGGTAAAGGGTGGGTAATACACTGTAGCAATCATAATCGCCATCACCATATTTGCTCTAGTTCCCAAGGCCACTGAAAAAGGCCATTACTGTTATTGGCACTCCAAATCAAAACACAAAATCAGAGTCATTATTCAGACAACAGCAGAGAGAAAAGAGTTGGCCAGCTCAAGGCAATAGTAAGCCTAGGCCTAGACCTACCTTACCCACTTACCCTGGTTTCATGTTCTCCCCAGTCACACTGCTGACCTGATATTGCTACTCTAAATCAGGGTAGCCAACGTGGTAGCTTCCAGATGTTCTGGACCACAGCTCTCATCACCTCTGACCACTGGCCATGATAGAGCTAAGGCTGATGGGAGTTGTAGTCCAAAACATCTGGAGGATACCATGTTGGCTATCCCTTCAGGTCTCTTCACTTGGCCTCCAGGCCTGCCAGCCCAGATAGGATAGAACTAACAGCACGTGCTAGCAGTTGGCTACAGCTCATAGTTAGCGAGAAGAGGGTTATTAACAACTCCCAGTTCAGACGACATACTAAACAAAACCTTGACTTAGCTCAGCACGGTGTGAAAGTACAACAGACTGGGGAGCAGCAAAGAAGCTGTGAGCTCCTGCCGTTGTCTGGGAGCCTAGACATTTGTGTGGTCTGGCTAAGTTTGGTGTGTGGTGCTAACCAACCATGAACACTATACAACAGATGCCAGAGATAATCAGCTGAAAGCTGCAACACTGGAGCTTCTAATGTCCTCTCTCCATCGAGAGCCCTCTCCGATATACCACTAACATGGGAGCTACTGCAGAGGGACTCTGTCCCACACCACCAGGATAACATAAAAAACTCAAAAAGTTCCCATACCAGCTCCACTTATAGGCTGGCTGAGTAGCACTGCAACTGCTCCCAAGTCACTACGACTAATGCAGAGACAAGGTGTTGAAAAGCTATTGTCTGAGCACATAAGTCAGCACTCACACGTCTCTTAACAAAGTACCTTGGAAATTGCAAACCCTTTCCATCTCAACTAGCCTCACAGCTTCAGTCCTAATGTCTGAGGATTTGTACATTTTACTGTTCATATTTTTCTTCCATTCCTTTTAAAACGGTACATTGTAACCAGGACATTTGTAATATTACAAACCACGGTCTCTCATATGCAGCCAAAACGTCCCATAACATTAGAAGACATTGAAGTGCTCAAGATTAAAAACTAATAGAAAACAGCTGCCCTTTCCTTTCCCTATTGTTTATGTTTCTTCTGAGGCCTCCACTTTGTAAAATATTCCCTATACAGATCAAAACATGCTGTGCCTGGATAACTGCTAAACAATGACGCTGCTTTTAAAACACTGCCAGTTTAGCAATACAACTGAAGCCATATTTATGAGTATGACCTCAATTGACATTAATGCAATTTAGTGATAAATAAATTATGATCGCTTGCAGAAAACTCTGAAAGCATACACAAACCAGAACCTACAGCTCACATTTTTTGCTATTTTGGTGGTCTGAGCAATAAAAAATACACTCTGCTTAGTGATCGCAGACTATAGCTAATAGGTATGCTTTTATTTCATCAATGTTGCACCAGAACAAGACTTTATAGCTGCTCAGGTGAATGTTCATTGCACCATGCAAAGGCATGCTTCTGCTACTCAGCCACTCAATTCTTTCCCTGGAAAACTCAGGACACCAAAATAGATGCAAAACATCAACAATGCTTCCTAAACTACACACTTGGAAATAACTTGTTTTCAAATTGATAGAAAATGCATTTACCATATCGTCCAAATTTGTGTGCAGAAATCAATGGCATCCATATTTAGTAACTAATATTGTCTCAGAGTTGCATCCAGTTGTGTCTCTCTACTGAAAAAAAGGCTCCTGGATTCAGTGGAGGCTCTTGTAAGCGGGAAGGCATGGAAGGAGGAGATTTTCAGTAGTTCACCCTTGCCTCTGCTGCTCCCCGCATTGCTACCTCCCATGGCATCTGAAAGAGTCCTCCCAGTCTCCAGTCCGTCTTGGAGGTCTAAAGCAGACATCCACAATAGAGTCACAACTGTTTCTCTCTCCTGTAATGTTTACTCATATGCTCTCACTCTGCCTTACATGTTCCAGGTCATGAATCAGAAGGAAAGCATGGTGCCGAGTGGGTTTTTATAAGACTTGCTAACTTCTCTGTTAAATTGTGAATCTTTGCACTGGTGGAAGACAACACACCTCCTTGGGCAGCTTGGTACCTCCAAACACAGCTGCCTCTGTCCCCCTCAGTCAGGAGTCACATACCACTTGAATAAAGCAGTAGCAAGGGTCGAGTAGGAAGAGTTAACTACCGTATTTTTCCGTGTATAAGACACGTTTTCCCAAAAAAAATGATGTCAAAAATTAGGGGGCATCTTATAGACGGATACACCCCCCCCCCATTTTCTTAAATCTGAGTCCACAAAAATACATTAGGGTGTCTTATAGACGGGAAAATACGGTAATGTCTACTAGGAAGTAGACTCTTCCTAGTTTTATTTGCCCTGTGATTGAAATGGTTTTATCTGTTTTTATGATTGTATATTTTGTCCTTTATGGTGAAGGGGGGTTAAGAACTCATATATAAATACAAAGTAGGCAAACTAATCAACCAATAAATAATTTAATTTAAATAAGTGAAGGTACTACCAGAGTATTGGGTTTTCATATTTCCAGCTTAAACTTCTGACTTAGAGCTAGTCACGACTTAGAACCTAGGAGTATGAATGGACTTAAATCAATCCACCATTTATAATGTGGTGTAACATTTGTATAACGGGGAATAACTTGTTACTGGCTTTGACTTTGAAAAGAATTTATCTGCTCTTTGGATTAAGTTACACTGAAGGGGCCCCAGCCTGTCCCACATCAAGTTCTCCATTGCCTGGCCCCAGGCCAACTTCAGAAAGTGACTCACTTAGTCCTATGTGTGATAGCAATTTTATTTTTGAACTGCTAGTGTTAAATGCAGCACATATGTAAATAAAGTTAACAGATTTTATTGTTCCAACCATTCAGGTCAAACAACACAAAATTGGAGCATTTAGTACATTTTTGATAGTACTAAATACCGCAATGCGTGCTGCACTCTGAATGCCTGGGTTTTATTTAGTTTTAGGAAATAAAGCCACAAGGCATCTACGTCATTTTTCCCAATGATCGTATGAACATCTACCACGGTATGTGGGTTCCTGTTTCATTTAAAATAAATAATAAGTGCTGTTAACAGTATTTCATTTGGGAAAATAGAAACTCCACTGTAAATGTTTTGGAATAATTAAAATGACGCATAGTATACTGCAAACCCACATCATGAAATGCATTATTAGATAATGCAAATTAATAACTTCTTTGTAAATAAAAGGTGATTACAAGGCAACAGTACTGTAGCATTGCAACATCTCATCTATTACAGTCATACCTCATGTTACGCTTGCTTCATGTTACGTTTTTTCAGGTTGCGTCCCACGGCGACCCGGAAGCACCGGAAAGGGTTACTTCCGGGTTTCGCCGCTCACGCACAAGCGCTAAATCACACTTTGTGCATGTGCATAAGCGCCAAATTGCGCCGCGCACCTGCGCAGATACGGCACTTCAGGTTGCAGGCTTTTCATGTTGCAAACAGGCCTCTGGAACGGATCCCGTTCGCAACCAGAGGTACCATTGTATATCCCATAGGATGGAGCAACCATGCCTATGCCAGTATTCATAGAAGCTAGCCAAAGAAAAATAAAATAAAACCATAACAAGGCCAAAAATATCAGACATAGTGGTGGAGCACGGCTTTCAGAATGGCTGCCCCATTCTGTGGAATAGCATTCCTGTTGAGATACAACAGACACCCACTATCTGAACATTACAGAAACAATTGAGGACATTTTTGTTTCAACAAGTTTTTGCAAATGGATGAAAAGGTCTCTCTGCCTTAGGTATGCATTTTGCATTGTTATATGACCTATTTTCAGTTGTGGGGCATTGTGCGTGTTCTAGGTGCCATACAGGAATGCCATGCAGACACATTTTCTGCCTGGAGGACTTTATACTGGCAACATGCAACACCAAAATGGAGGTGGTGAAGAGTTAGATCAAGAAAAGTCAGGAGCCAGGGAATGACTAAGTATGTTGCGGCTACCAGACATGGCCAAACTGGGCCCTCCATCTGTTTTGGGACTATAGTTCCCATCATCCCTAACCACTGGCCCTGTTAGCTAGGGATGATGGGAGCTGTAGTCCCAAAACAGCTGGAGGGCCAAGTTTGGCCATGCCTGGGCTAGACCAAGTTCCCTACACAGACACTGGAAAATATGTGCTGGGTCTTTCTCAATGACAGCTTAAAAATTCAATTAGTCTTATTCCACAAAAGGAGTACATATACCATTAAGGCCTATGCGAGTAATATGACTGACCAAAAACTAAACATAAGCTTTCCCCAATTCAGTCACTCCAATTTCTTCCTGTCTCATTCAAATCAAGCCAGCTATGCACAACCAATGGAGCTAGTACTGTTAAGAATTAAGAGTGTTACCTGGTCAAGCAAAATGACCTAAATAATCAGTTGACTCCTGGAAAGTATTCAGTCGCCAGGCTTGCAACAAGGTCAGTGTAACTCAGGACAATTTTGAGTAATTGCCAGCTAAGAGTACACCAGCAGTGGAGATAGCATTGTTCAACGAGATCCTTGGCCAGAGACAAATCCTACAAGGATCCTAATTTGAAACAGATAAGCTGACTTTCAGAATAGCTTCTCAGCACCCCAAGTGATAGAATACTTAAAGCAGGAAATGGAAGAGTGAACTGAAAGCTTTTATGAATGCAGCAGATTTTTGCACTGGGTACACTGGAACATTAAATAATAATAAAAGATGATGTAAGAGGCTGGTTTCAGAGATATAACCCCAGTTCATGAATTAACTCGGGGGTGAAACTGCAATATTATGGTAGAAGAGCAATGCAAGGCCCCTACCCTAGCTGCAGACCTCACCACCCACCACCCCTAAGTGCCCTGTAAGGCAGAACTGCCAGGGGAAGATGACTCAAAGAGAGCCTCTCAACGGTGGGCTCTCATGAAGAACGCCTTGTAAGCAGTGAGGGTTGCAGAAGGGACAGACTTGCACTATTCCCCCACATCCTTGCTGAGTGCTTCCACCAGCAGGTAAAGTAATCCAAACTGCTTGCTGACTTTGCCCAGAGCTGCTGCTGCATCACCAGTCCAGATACTTCAGAAAATGGGCAGCAGGTAGATTGGGTCTGATTCCTGTGTCAGCTTTAGGCCATCGCTGGCTATACAGGTGCCGGCTCCAAGGGGCCGAGACTCTTTGAGTCCCATCAATATTACTTGGAGGGGGCCATCCTCCCATTGTTAAAGCCAAAGGTGGAGTTGGGTGCAGAGCGACGTCAGGACATCACGCTGGGGCCCCTCAATGTTCTTCAGAAGATGGTGCCTGTGGCTGGCTGTGAGATCAGCTTGGGATCCAGCAGATCCCAGGCTGGCTCTGCCCAACCTTTGGAACACTGCTTTGGGGGCCTTCTGTTGGGCTCTTTTGATAGAAATACCACCGGCAGGCCTTCTGCCCACCCGTTTGGAAGGTGGAGGTCAGCACTTGCAGAATGATGCAAGTGTCATTTTGTTGGCAGTGGGGTGTCAGTTTAGCAAGCAGAAGTGAACAGAGAGATTCAAACCCCCCCACAGCCTGGCATAAGGAGGTCTTGGACCACAGCCTGAATGTGCAAGTCAGGGTGTAGTAATCAAGGGGGTTGTTACTTAGAAAACTCCACTGTCTGTCATTACTGGAGGAAGGTACATCCATATTGACAGTCAACATCAGCACAGAGAGCCTCAGGGAAAATCTGCTGCAGACACAACGCTACACCGTATTTTAAAATAAACTATGCTGCTCCACAATGCTCAATTTCACCCGCTTGGCTCTTTTGCCATTCCTGGCTTTGCCACGCTGGGAGGCAAAAACCAGGAAGTTGGATTAGCATTCTATATCAATCAGTGCTCACAGTTTGTTTGTTTTCAAACCATGATCAGAAGTCAAGGTTTGTTCTTATCTCTCATGGTTTGTTTGGTGGAAACAACCCATGAGAGCTTGCTTCTTCCCAATGTGGTAAAGGTAGGAGCAAATTGGACCGTAGTGAGAAGCATGCACCAGAATGCTGCTCATTCATGTTAAACCATAGTTTAATTTAATCTATGGTTTAATGTAGCATGCCAAACAAGCTGCATACCAATATTAAACAGCACTATGCTTCCCAACAATGAGGGTGGCTGTCCTCTGAAATTTTGAAAGAATGTGCCACGATTTTACAGGCATCAACACTGTTGCTGCATAAATGCATACTTCTATTCAGCTAATCCCCCTTGCCCCCAGGGAGGAGAAAAATACAAAATTCCCACAATCAAATCAAACCTCCTTCCCACAGGGCTCACTTAGGCAGTTCTTCACTCCAGGTCCTTAATAGGACAACTTAAGCTCCTTTATGCTTAATATAGGGTTTGTTACCAGGGCTAATCAAAGTCTCTCGCCCCCTCCCCAAAATGCAAGACATCTTAAAAACCACACACAACTGGAACTTACACCTACCAACACTGAATAAAATTGCTTTTACACACTAGTTTTAGCATCTGCAAACATGGTGCTGTTCACAAAAAGAATGAAGAGAATTTGCCAACCTAAATGATACCAATTGGCTATTTTTGAGAACCTAGACCATGGGGCAGCTGGTAAATGTCTTGTAACATTAACCACAGAAGAGCAGCTGTGGTAAATCAAGTTCGGAAACTTTGCTGTACTTGCTATATTACAATGTATTTTGGTATGTACTCTCCACTGAACAGAGATATCAAGCCAGTTGCGTATTCCAATGAAAGTTTAATGGACAGATAAAAATGGGTAGGTGGGGAAACTATTATTTCGCTTTCCAATAAGACTACACGCATCCAATCAGAAAACTCTTTCCCCACAGCATCAGTTTCTGCATTCTCTCTCACGTGAATTTGTAGAGCGCATGCAGCTACAAGGTGGTTCCTTCCCACACTGCTCTAGAGACATGGGAAGCCATGTGGAAGTATTCTACACCAGCAATGCTGGAAAGTACAGGGTCTTTCCATGTGGGTCAAGGGCTGCTCACATTACCTGTCTGGCAAAGAAAGGAGCCACGTTTGCAGCATTTTCCATGCTGCGAACATGCTGCAAGAAGCAGTCCTGGTAAAAACAAACCATTTATTGGGGGGGGGGGGAGAGAGCAAGAGTCACTAAAATATGGCACAATATGTCACCCTTCTTTCAACTGCTGTAAAAATATGATACCATCTGCATCAATTAGTATTGGAGATTTAACCGTCATGCAAAGAATAAACCAAATGATTGTATGTGACTGGGTAGTAATACATCAAATTAACACTACTCAAGCCTGATGAAAATTTGATACCTGCATCCCATAACATTTCAGATAGGCTAAAAACCTCTTTCTGTAGGCCAAAGGACAAAGCATGAGACCATGAAAAGCAGGCAGTAGATCAATTACTGATTGTGGCTCTCTTGTTCGACATTCTGCAAAAAATACACATATGCAAAAGCGGCTTCTCTATACAAAAGAAAACAACTAAGCATTGCAACACCTTGCTTAAATTCAGGAAGGTGTGTGCTTTTTTTACGTAAGCTTCACATATACAATCTGAAGTACAGTGGTACCTCGGGTTACATACGCTTCAGGTTATATACACTTTAGGTTACAGACTCCGCTAATCCAGAGATAGTACCTCGGGTTAAGAACTTTGCTTCAGGATGAGAACAGAAATTGTGCTCTGGCGGCGCAGCGGCAGCGGGAGGCCCCATTAGCTAAAGAGGTGCTTCAGGTTAAGAACAGTTTCAGATTAAGAACAGACCTCCAGAATGAATTAAGTACTTAACCCGAGGTACCACTGTACACAATATCACCCATACTCCTAGAATGTCTGCATCATAGGTATTAGTCTAGAAACATAATGTTGATCTGAACTTACGTACGGAATGAAAAGTGTGCCCCCAGGATCCAAATAGAATTGCCATTATTTTGTTTTTTGGGATAAAAGTCCTTGGTTTTAAGGCCTTTTCCTATCTTAAGAAGCGAACTGCCACTCTCTGAAAAACTAACAGAGGCATAATCAGTATGGTTAGAATACACAGATATTAAAATGCACTAGAAATTAACGTGCATAAGAGGGGGAAACCTTTGGAAAGAAAGAGTGCAATGTAACACCGCAATAGAAGACTCCTCTGTATAGTTATATGTGCCCATTTCAGCCAACCAGCAAGGGCTGCTGAAGTCTCCCTCAGTAGCTGCAGGAAAGCCGATACTGCTAAGTTTCACTGCTGACTGTTTATGTGAACCTAAACTTAGAAAACAAACTGAGGATCATCATCAAGAAGGGTAAAAAGGCAAACGAGTACAAGTATGAAAGTACAAAAGGAGTAGCTGTTGATGCGGCAGGATACATTCACTTGAGCATGGTGATTCTACCTCTAATTTTACTGATTTATTAGATTTCTTACCCCCACTTCACCATATGGTCTCAGGGCAGGTTCCAACCATTTAAAAGTGAGCTATCAAAAGCCGTTAAAACAAATTACAGTCAAAATAACAAGGCTGGTCCTATAACAGATATATCGGAAGTCCAACGCCAAGGTAAAGAGGTGTCTCTTCACCTATTAGGACTCTTGTTATAGCGAGTTTGACATCACCCATGAATTCAATATGCAGAGTAACAGACATTTCTCCTTTGTGTACCACAGCATGTCTAGAGACAAGGACAGGAATATTCCATTTGGTTCCAGCTTGGCGGCAGCATAACCAACTTCCAATGTAGCTGGAAGTAAAACTTCAGAAATTCAGAAAGCAGAGCAGCCTCCCTCCCTGCAAATGCCAGCACAGGGCTAAGGACACAGCTTGCCCTGAGGAGAAGACAGAGATTAGAAATGACAATTTGGTGAGCTACCCACATCTAGCTCCTAGTATTCCAATCCAAAGCTGCTTTTCCTTCCCCCAACCATCACCACAGGGCAACTCAAGAATCATTTTCCCCTGAGGAAAGAAGATCTACTAAAAAATAATAATAATAAATCCTTCCAGCTTGTGTTTTGTTCATTTTTATAATGTTGTTTTATATCATTTTAACTGATGCTTATTTAAATGTTTTTATATAAACTGTTTGGTGAGGTGTGCATGAAAAGTGATAAATATATCAACTAAATAAATAAACTGGATATATGTATTCCTCCTTATATATCCCATACATTTGCAATAAATACTTCATCTCAAATCAAGAGATACATGACTCACATTGCAGAAAGTCTCCTCAGGGCTCAAAAAGTCAATATCCATTACTGCTCACTACTAGCAAAAAATGGTTCATACAATCAGATTTTTCATGTCAAAGAAATGTATCTATGCAGTGAAAGCTTTGCAAACACAGAAGCAGTTCTTAAACATTATTAGGAAGCCATCATGTCTAAATTTTTTAGAGAAACCAAAATCCAACAACTAACCCAAGGGTTTAGCAAGTTTCCATTTTTGCACACAAACCTTTTCTAGAAGTAGAGAGTTTGCTATGACAATGCAAGTTTGTGAAACTGCCAAATGCCACGCTCTTATATTAAAGGAATATCTAAGGCTATAACATCCAATTGATCATCAAGATCAGATCAAAAGATCTGTGTACAAAATGAATTATATTTTGTGGGAATTGAGCAGTGTAACTAGTAATTTGCTCATTTCCCTCCTGCTACCTGTTTAAGGGGCCCCTATGATATTACCTGCTAGTTAATCTACAATTCTGACCATACAATGTAGCTATATGACCACCAGTGGCAGTAACAGAATTAATAGTTTGAAGCTTCGGATGATGTGCTAATGAAATTATGCCTGCAGTTTTCACATTATCATTATCCACATAGTTGAGCTTTACAGTTACACTCCAGAGAAAGGTAGGCACATCCCATAGTTATGTGCAGTAAATTCCAAGGATTTTAATTGGATTTAGGCATGACTAACATTCGCTGGATTACACCCAACCATTCTAATTGAAGAGCCAGGGCCACCAGCAGAATCAAGTGAATAAACCTCTGCAGTTTTACCCTTTTCTCCCCCTCTGAAGCTAGAATCCAATTCAAAACGACAGATAACATCTTCTGTAGATATGAATTTGCAGCGGTACATATAATAAGATGATTAACTTTGAACAAAAATAAAACAACAAAAAAGAACTGGGAGGAAGAGGGGGGAGGAAGCATAAGCAAAGAATGTTCCTTCAGGGGTGGCATTAATGAGTTGCCTCAAATTGGAATGTGGTCCTTTTGCGTGTGGCCTCTCGGTGCCTAAAGTCATCTTCTTTGGGATTCCCAGGGCAATTTCAAACAGCCTCTGGCATCATGAGTGTATCTGATTTCGGAAATGTGAACCTGCAAGGTTGCAGGGGAGTTGTTGCCCAGTTGCTTTTATGAGCACTCACTTCTGATTGCAGCCTAGCCTAGGAAGAGGACAGCTAGCAGATTTCAGTTATCAGTCCGCAAATAGCCATGCATAAAGAGCTGCAATATTAAATGCAGTTCTACATTGCTAGCATCATTTAGTGATGGTATTCACCGGTACAGAGGACTAGCACCTCATATTTTTTGCTACCCTTGGCAATCGTTTTGCACTAGCGACCACAACATTTGTATTAAGAACACCAGCATATCTTGTTTAAAAAACAAAAAGGCACAGATAATAACTAATAACTTTGGGTAGTGTATTCTTGAATACACAGACACTACCCAAAGCTATGCTCCTGTTGATTTTTATTCGTTGCTAAGAAATAGGGCACAGGTAGGAAGGCAGAATATGACATTTGTCCCTTTTGTGCTATATAAATACTTTCCGCCTCATGTTTCTTCTGCCCAGTCTTGACATAATTTGTAATTACAGTGATACCTCAAGTTACAGACGCTTCAGGTTACAGATGCTTCAGGTTACAGACTCCGCTAACCCAGAAATAGTACCTCGGGTTAAGAACTTTGCTTCAGGATGAGAACAGAAATTGTGTGCCAGCAGCAGGAGGCCCCATTAGGTAAAGTGGTACTTCAGGTAAAGAACAGTTTCAGGTTAAGAACGGACCTCCGGAACGAATTAAGTTCTTAACCTGAGGTACCACTGTACCACTAATTGCCTCCTCCCCAAGTTCTCTGAGCATGCCAAGAGTCCTTGGAGACAGGGGTGATAATGGGGGCATTCTGCTACTCAAGCATCCACCCACAAAGGGCTCAGCTGGAAGGAAAAGTGCTCTCTGGCCCTTTTTTCTTTGGTTCAGCCAAAGAAGGAAAGGGCTGCAGGGAGCTTCCCTTCCCTTGGCTAAATGAACACTCAAGCTCTAATTGGCAGTTGCCCTGGGACAGCAGAAGCAAGCGGAAAGGACACACTGGCCCTATCCATTTGCCAAAATGAGCAACAGAGGCATGAAAACCACCAAGGGAATATCAGCCTGATCTGGGTACAAATGTCTGCTTATAGCTTGCCACTTCATTCAGGTCTTGAATAACTGATCTCTTTCCTTTCCCATTTTCTTCCACTCCTCCTTCCCCTTGTGTGCATCTTGCCTGTCCCGTTCATAAACCTCACACCTCTTTCTCTTTTTTTAATTGATGTGACACACATAGAAAATAAATTTGTGATTCATTGCACTGTTAAGTGGCAAATCATTCACTATAAGGCCTATAGAGGATCTGGAATTCCTTGGGACTTTGAAGTTGTAGGATGGCTCATCTAGAGTTTCCTAAGGGAAGGTGTAAGAAGGCCTCAACTGTTTTCACCAAAGAGGGAAATTCCACATGCAGACACAAAAAACCCCCAAAGGGTATGTAATAATAAACAAGCAGAAGCCTTCTAAATAGTTTGATACCAGGTAGTTTTCCCAGGTTTACTTATTTTTTTAAAAAAATCAAAAACTTTTTTTTTTTTGAGGCGGGAAAGGCACAGAATGCTTTCAACTAACTTTTAATCAGAGCAGACCCACTAAAATTTAAAAAATAAAATAAAATAACTCAAGTAGGTCCATTAATTTCAACAAGTCTGCTTTGAGAAAAACTTAGTGAAAAAATTGCATTCGGCCTTGATTGTTTCCTAGTGCTCTTGAGTTCCAGTTGACAACCACGACCTCCAACAGGACCAATTTCAGCTTAATGCTCTAAGGAAAGAAACAAATAAGTTATGAGCCAAAGTTAAATATTTGGGTGCGGACAGACTGGAATTATCACGAAGTTCTGAATATTATCTTATACCATCTAGGAAACAGAAGAAGCTTTCTTAGAATTACGGAGTTAGAAGTGACCACAAGAAGCATCTAGTCCAATCCCCCTACAATGCAGGAATCTTTTTCTCTGTGTGGGGCTCAAACCAACAACCATGAAATTAAGAGCCTCATGCTCCACCAACTGAACTATCCCAGTTAGCCTTATACAGAGTCAGGGCACTGCTCCACCTAGCTCAGTATTTTCTATACAGATTGGAAGTGGCTCTCCACAATTTTGGCAGGGGTTTCTCTCAGCCCTACCTGGAGATGCCAGGGATGGAAACTGGGTACTTCTACACACAAACTATGTGCTCTGCCACCAAGCAACAACCATTAACTATAGGTTTATGCCTCTCACAGTCAGGATCAATCAGCTCAGACAGGAACTGGGATGATTCAATTGCAGAGTGTGGACTCTGTTCATGGACTGCATGGTTAAAGCAGCTATACTTTGTCACTTGGCAATATTTTCACCTCTGTGGGTCAACCCCAGTTTATACTGGTGTGTTCCAAGGATAAAACGAGAACATTTTTTTTCACTGCTAGAGCCAAAAACTATGAAAGAGGAGTGTCTTTGAGCATATGCAGAGTACATTTTCCACCCCAGACCAGGTCCACCTAGGCCTGCCGTTAGTATTTTACAGTGCGGCTGAAGTGATTTAAGTCTCAGCAGTGCACATTCGGGAAATTATTACACTTTTCCAGTTGACTCCTACTTCTTGTGGTGAATTTGAACAAATCGGGAAAGAACAAAAATGCGTAGGAGGGCCTAAGCTGTGAATTCTTCACTTTGACAGCTAACTACCTTTAAAGAAGACTCTGGTCTCTTGGAAAATCACTTGCTCCTGCAAACATTCCAAAACAATAACTGCAGTTGTGGTTATGGTATATAAGCAGACCCACAATGGAAGAACACGTCCACATATTGGTTTCTTACTTAGGTAGCAGTCCCTCTAACATGCCCACTTTCTAAAAAGTAAGAGGGGGTGAGGCCTGATGGAGAGAACTCTTGTGACAATAACCAATATTTCTTTCCCTGACTCCAAACCCTCCCTCACTTCTAAATATGCAATTCCTTACGTTTCTTAGGCAATAATCTTCTGCAAAACAAGTGGTTTATTTATTTACACTTCATTGCAGACATAACAGAAATGAATTCAAAATGCTGTATTTTGAAATAGGTGCTGTATATGTGAAATAGGTGCTCCATATATATACCTTTGTCCAAAAGCTAAGCTATGCACGTTTCTCTCTGTAGCTCAGCAAAAGCCTCCCCTATAGAGTCTTCACTGATCTACATACACCTGCAATGAAAAGGGCAAGAGGTGCTGGGGTAGAGGATATATGTATGTGGGTTATTTCGATAGAAATGTTTCGTTTAGGGCCAACTCTTCATTTGTTACAAATCACACTTAACAAACACATGCATCTATATATGCCAGACTTGCTTTAATAGGAACCATGTGGGGCAGAAGAACATTAATCCTTCAACAGTTTCCTTTCCAGACAAGTCAGATTTGCAGTTAAAAGAAAATGCTGTGTGATGCTAGAAAGACCAACATTCAGTAAACAAAGTGAATTCAATGCAGAAACTGAGAGTCTGGGCAGAGCCTGCATGTCCTGATTCCCCATACATCTATTTGTCTCTTTCTGCAAGTCCGCATTCTCCTTCTGTGCCATTTTGCTGCCTATCTTTGTGTCCATGTCTTAATATACACTCACTTGCATTTAGTGGACATCTCGCTAATATACCATAAAACTGCTCCAGCTGCAAATGCAACTCTTGTTTCCTCAACATAATGTTTGTTAGGTTTTTCTTGGCAAATGTCTATGATTCTCACTGTTCTGGCCATGCATATTCTGTAACCACAGCACACTTTTTTGTTGAAGAATTGACAAAAATGCAGCTAACACTCCCCAATGTGTCTGTTGTACGTTGGAACTTAGGCTGCAGTCCTATTGACATGGAACTTGCTCCCAGATAGACATCTCTAGGATTGCACTCTCAGCCTTTCAAATCAGTAATTCTGTATGCCCAAGTTCCCATAAGAATGAAGGAAATGAAGGTTAAAAAAACTGATAAGGGCTGAGCCCTATCTATTCTTGATGGGGAAATACCAAACATTTGTAGAAGCTTAAGAAAAGTAGTTTCCCATTGGTTCTATTAATACGGGAGTCATTCAGTATTTCCAGATCAGCTTAGCATATATACTCTTGTTTGTTATAGAGGTCTATCTAATACAACCTGTTGCACCTACTGAAACGCAGATTCTGCACCTTCCTTTTCTTAGTGAGAGTGCCAATTGAGGAGAAATGGCTCCGTTTGATGGAGGCAAAATGGCTGAACTTGCAAAGACTGTTTTGGTCTTGTGTTTCTAATTTCTGTTTTCCACAGTACTGCTAATAATAAACGGCCAGATGGCGACTGAAAGGAAGAGTGTGCTATGTGACCTTCACTTGCTAAGGCAGAATGAACTTAAGGGAATCCTGTCATAGAGTGACACAGAGAGATTAGAAGGTGCCAAAATATTTGACACTGCCAGAGTCACATAAGGTGGGGAAGAAAACTACTGCTTCGATCTTACTCTGTCGAATTGCATTTGTCCCGCCAAGAAAAGAACATATGCCTCAAAGGGTATAAAAATATTAACAGAATCTGTTTTGCATGCTCACAACCAAAACAATAGGTTGCAACACTACCTGCCATTTCTGATCTTTATTTCAGTCCTCTTAGCAGGCCCCATTTCCAATAGGTTTTCTGCAGCAATTGGAGATCTACTTGGATGCCCTTAAAATGAACGGCAGTGCACTCTGCCAGATGATTCCAATGGTAACCTCTATATAGCTGTTGCAATTCTCTAACCACTTACTCTGCTGTAGTATTATTTAAGGAATGGCATAAAGTAATTTGAAGCTTACAAGTAATTTGATGACTACAATCAGATTCTCAGGAAGTGCCAATCTTCTTGAAGTGACAAATTACACACCACTGCCTATCCACTGCCATTCTGCTCCTACTGCAGGGCTACAGCAGGTGCCTCTCACTACCCTACCCAAAGAAGGAGCAAAAGAGACTCCGGAGACTCAAAGCAAGGGGAAGCCAAGCCGCCATCCTCAAATAATTGTTTGCCAAGCTGCCGCAAAGAAAAGACTTGCAGGCGGTTTGTATTCCAATTTAAGCTTTTAGGCAAGTTGCATTTGCACTATCAGTTGCCCGAGGTGAATTGATGTATTTACCGCATTTGTGCAGCTACGCCATAGGACGTGTTCTCTGGGCAACTCACAAAGCAAACAAAAATCAAAAAAATGCACATGCTTTAAAATACAGTGGTACCTCGGGTTATATACGCTTCAGGTTACATACACTTAAGGTTACAGACTCCGCTAACCCAGAAATAGTACCTCGGTTAAGAACTTTGCTTCAGGTTGAGAACAGAAATCTCATGGTGGCGGTGCAGTGGCAGCAGCAGGAGGCCCCATTAGCTAAAGTGGTGCTTCAGGTTAAGAACAGTTTCAGGTTAAGAACGGACCTCCGGAACGAATTAAGTTCTTAAGCCGAGGTACCACTGTAATAAAAAACCTTAACAAATCAATTTAAGAAATGGAAGCACAATTATAATTCCGTTCAAAGCTGAGAAGCCCAGATTATTAAACATAATGGTCAAACATTCTTACATGAAATGTGAGTCAGCAATGCCAAACAGGAACTCTTACGCCTTTCGGGGCTATGTTCTATCTCCCATGCCAGAGGCACTATGTCTTACAATACAAGTTGCTGGGAATCACAGGCGGGAAGAGTGCTGTTACACTCAGGTCCCACTTGCAGGCTTAGCATAAGCATCTGCTTGGCAACTGTGAGAACAGGATGCTGGACTAGATGGGTCTCTGGCCTAATCCAGCAGGGCTCTGTTTATGGCCTTAAGTTCTCTTCCACCCTAGGATAAGCAGGCAGGCAAACAGCAGCAGGATATTGATTGTTGCTAACCTGTAGTCAGGAGAGCTTGTATTCCTACGGTGGCCTGGGAATAACCAAAAGACAGTCAACAAGGGGGTAGTGGGAATGGTTGAAGAGCCATGGAATTTCCTCAGTCAAAAAAAAAGGAGCTGTTACTTCACAGGATCTTGATCGTGTAAACATAACCCACGTAATGTCCCAAAATGTACTTTGAAGAGTGTGACTTGTGCCAATCCAGCAGAATCAATGACTATTAATGTGCTTTCAATCGCACACCATTAGGTCAAATGCAATTTCATTGCAGCTGAAGGTGTACAGATTGTGGCCTTGTAAAAGCTTTCTAAAACCCTGTCATCTCATTCAAATGTAAGAAGCCATCTAAAGCGCCACCTTAGGAGGTACATAAGCAAGTCTAATACAGGGGGAATTGCAAATTCTACAACAGGAAACCAACTAATTAGCATCTGATCCACACTTTATGAAACGTACACCCCCACCACATTCATACTTCTGTCCTCAAACCTAAATGCAGTTGCCGTGACCTGAATCAGTAAGAGGTAATTAATGTCATGAGAGCTCTACAAAAACAGAATAAAACTTGATGAGCTACTTTAGCAAAAAAACAAAAACAAACAAAAAAACCCAAAACAGTAAACAACTGCATCAAAACAAAGCCAAGGTCCTGTCAATCTTTAAGAGCATGATTTTTTGAAAAATGTGGAACATCTAAGAGTATTAGTATAATTAGACACTTAGTCACAGAATACTGTTTCTCTCTATTGAATAATAATGTAATCGCAGCAATTACATTCTGGGGTGCAGCAATGCAATCCTAGATTTGCATGAAGTCAGGAGGAAGTGAAGACCAGCAGCAGCAGCAGTCACAGCACGGGAGCAAGAAGGAAGGAACACTGAGAAGGGGAAAGTGGTGGTTTAAAACAATGGCAGAAGTTTGAGTAAAGCAGCGATGGAGGAAACTTGAGAGGAAAATGGTGGTTTTAAACAACGGTAGGATTGAGTACAGTACTATGGAATTTTTGAGGACTCCATATCCTTTATCTTGCTCACCTGTAGCAACTGCAGGGTGAAAGAGGGAGAAGTTTGAGTGTTGCAAGAAGGTAGGAAAGACTTTAAAACAATGGCAGAGACTTAAGTAAAACAAGGATATAAAGTCACTGGGAGGGGGGAAAGTGGCCATTTTTAAAAAAACAATCACAGGTCTCAACTTCTCTTATAACATGCATGTTCCCATAGGCTTGAAATATTCCATTAGTTACCCATGCATTGCTCAGTCTTTTCATGCTACAGAGCAGCAGTCATCAACCTCTTCAAATTCAGAATCACCTTTATGTCAAACATGCATCTGGGGACCTATTTCTTCTTCTTTTTTACTCTATATGTTTTCATGGCAACAGTGCTCCAGTTGCGACCCACCTCACTTCAAGCCATGTTATGGTAGAAGGTCAAATATTTTAGAATTTGCTACTGCAGTATCTCTGTTCCTGCATAACACTAAATACCATTGCTACTGCCTGTCTCTGTTAAATGTTAACCAGGATGTTAAAACTCCGGAGCTGGCTTGGCAAAGGATAATAAAAGATGGGATAACTCAACAGGACGGTTGCCAACGTTAGAAAAGTAGCGTAGGAGTGATAATTGCACAGCACCATTGGCAGCCATCAATAAAAAATACTAGCAGGACACTGATTTGTGTGATCCTGGTTATGCACCTTAGCTCTAAATATCCCCCCTTCCCTAAATAAAAAAGACATACCGAAGTTGGTTTACAATGTCATATCATAGTGGACTTCCGGGGTGGCGCCATCGGCAATGGCGGACTCCCTCTGAACTGGAGGGACTAGCTCTGCGCGAAACGGGTCTTTTCCGCTACGGCGAAGTGGGGACCCTTTTAAAAATCACAGGCGGATGAAGCCTGTGACCATGGGACTCGGCGGGCACCCTTAGCGCCCCCCCAACCCGCAAAGGAACCCACTAACGGGCTCCGAAGCGAAGAGGGGGAAGTGGCGCGGTGCTGTGAGTCAACTGCTATTTCCGTGGAGCGAAGCCGCATAGCTGTTGCCGGAGAGCACTGCCTTTTTCCTGGGACAATTTGGCTTCTAAAATAAGCACCCGTGAGTACTTAAACTTTGAACAATTGGACTTTAAATAAGGACTTGCGAGCAGAAAGGAATTGGATTTAAAAATTTACTTCAATTTGGTACTGAAACGGGAAGGTCTAAACAGGAAGTCAGCCTTCCGTTTCTTTGTAGGCAGAACAAAGCAAAGACAACGTAAACTAGAGCTCAGAAAATCACTTCTAAAGGATCGGCTTTCATCATTTAAAATCCTCGAACCCCCCTTTGGCAGCAGGAGAAGAAGGGGGATCTTTTTCGGACTGTTTAAATTTGCAGAAGTGAGTTTAAAGTAAAGTAACTTTCCACCGTCCTGATCCTGGAGCGGGGTGTCAGGACTGACGTTTGAAGCTCATTGACCAGAGACAAACGTTTTTGACAGATAGCTAAAAGAAGAGAAACATAGTGATTCCACTGTTTCCTTTCGCATTTTAAAGGAACAAATATTGACAAAATATCTCAAAAAGGGAAACTTTGTTGCAAGAACAATTAGAAGTTTTTTCCCCTCGAGGGAGACTGGGAAACTGTAACTAATTCCAGGGAGCTTGCAGCTGTCACAGATTACAATCGTGGGAAAAGGCTTGTGACCTTGTAGGACAATGTATTCAGAAGCTCTGTTGTGTGCTCTCTGTAAAATAAATACTCTACTGGAACAGTTAACTGAGAAGACGGATTTGATGACTAATGCGGCCAGAATTTTTGAACAGGTAGTGGGAAACTATATGGAGCCCACCCAGGAATTAAATCAGGAGTGTGCCCTGACAGAACAGATGAGAGAAGAGGATGTTGCGGAATCTTGGGCGCCAGAGATGGAGGGAGCTGCGGCCCAGCAGGAACATGAGCTTTTGGATTTGACAAATGAACTTGGAAAAAGCCAGATTAGGAAAGATAAAGTTTGGACTGATTTGGAAATGGGGGGTTGGATAGACCCCCCCTATGCAGGGATGTTTGGACTTTCCGAGTCTGGCAATGGGCCGTGAGATGTTTGGAGCTGTGGGGGCTCTCAATTTTGGAGGGATTCTGAAACATGTTTTTAAATACTACATGGAGTTTAGTCTGGACTATGGAAAAGGGGCTGATTTGTTGAAAAGGGTCAAAAACATTACCAAGTTGGAGTTCCCACGAGTGAAAGGTGAATATGAAGAAGAGCTGCGGAAGGGACATGGAAGGGACTTAAGGGCCTCGGATATAAGGTTACCAGGTTAATGCGCTAGATCGATGGGATAAAAAGGACTGACAAAACCCGGGACCAGGAGGAAGGGACGCTGGATGAAGATTGGATTGTTTCTATTTCTTTTTTTTTATCACTAGGATTGTTTTATAAAATTGATGACTGTTAGAAAAATGTTGGAACGAAACTACTTGGCTCTAGCAAAAATGTTTAAAGAATTAGGCAAGAATATTATGGTTATGAGAAGTGGGTAAAAATAAGATTTAAGTTTTAAGTTTTAAGGTTTTTTATAAGATAAGATGAAAATAGATTAAGGTAATGTAATGAGAGAATATTATGAAATATGGAAAGGATTTGCTGCGATAATTATTAACTGGGATACAAAAAAAGGGAGGAGGAGGTCAAAGAAAGAAGGTAATGAAAGTTGAAGATTTGAGAATGTTGGTTTTATTTTTATCTGTTTGTGGTGTATTTTTGTTTTTTGAATTTGTATTGTTGGATGTGGTTTGTTTTTTCTTTTTCTTTCTTTTTCTTCTCTTTTCCGTTTTTTCTTCTTTCTTTCTCTGCTTTGTCTTTTTCTGTAATTTTAAAATTTTTTCAATAAATATCATTTTAAAAAAAAATACAATGTCATATCATAATTTGCACATCCTTCAGATTCTTTTCTACATCTCTATTCAAGGAAGCCACTTTGGGGAGCTCTTTTTGTTGTTGCTGCTGCTGCAGAGTGCTTGATAATAACAAAGACTCTATCCAAGATCTTGTTCAACAAAGAGGTGTGTGAAACAGGCTTTTGAATACATGGTAACATTCCTCTTGTGAGTTTCACGCCCCGAGGCAAAAAGCACTATCCAACCATTCATTCTTCCATCTTGAGAACATTCCTTACCCAGTTCAAAGGCCTGAGAAACCACATACCCCAGCTACAAGCCTGCACACCTTTCCCCTTGCAGAAACTTGCAAGATGCAAAAAGTTGATTGAAGAAAGTATTTATTACGAGTGTTTAAAGACTGTTAATTAGGTGACACTATTATCAGAACTTTTGACTTAGATAAACTATGCTAATTTAATTCACAGGAGTGCAACATTTCAATCTTTCATGCATTTATAAAACCACAACATATTACAGCATGGAGTGATTCCAGTCTAAAGCTGCGCAGGTGCTCCAGTTTAAACATGGAGCTCCTGGGGAGCTCAGCCTTTCCTGTTTACTACACTTAAAACTTATGTGGAGAGCTCTTTCAAGAAGCAAAGTGAACGAGGAAGTGCTTATGTGCCTGCACATTGAAGCACTGGATGAGGCTAATGAGCTTTGATATATTCACAAGATGCACATACCTTTATAAGTTCTGCTTGGTAAAAACAGGTGCCTGAATTTTAAAAATATGACACCGTATTTTAATGTCGTCTCTCCCCTCCCACCCATTTCTGTTTTGCTGAGTGACTTCTCACCCGTTCCATACAGAAGTAGCTACACCAGCTATTCTAACTAAGAACTTCCTTGCATTTTCATTTGTTTTCCAAAATGGAGGGTGTTGTAATGCAAAATGTAGATCTGTCACTATTTGGGGGTGGGGGGGATAACAACCATGCAAGGGCTAGTTCCATCTCAGATGGTCTCTGCCAGCATCCTACAATAACAGGTTTTAACATTTTCTGCTGAAACCTGTATCCTTGGGGGTTTTCCTGTTGTTATTCTGTCTCTCACAGCTGCAATAAACTTACCATTAAAGTTATGGACTGGTCATTTCTTCGTCAGAGGGCAAACGGGCAAATTTTGCAGGGGATCAAATACTTTCCCCCCTCACTGTATATCTTTAAGGATAAAGCAAAACAAGTGCATTTATTTCATTTGTGTTTACAATAAATAATCCTCTAAATAAAAACAAAATACAACAAATAACTGCAGATTGCACACAACTTTGTTTGCAATTGAGATGGATGTGATGCTCTTAACATTAATAATAAATTATCATCATCATCATCATCATCATTTATACCCTGCCCATCTGGCTGGGTTTCCCCAGCCACTCTAGGCAGCTTCCAACAAAATATTAAAATACAATAATTCATCAAATATTAAAAGCTTCCCTAAACAGGGCTGCCTTCAGATGCCTTCTAAAAGTCAGATATTTGTTTATTATTGTGATGATGATGATGATGATGATGATGATGATTATTATTATTATTATTATTTGTCTGCTATTGCAGCCTGGGCTGAGCTAAACATCTTTAGTCTTTGCTCAAACCCTCCCACACCAAAAAGAAAAGAAAAGAAAAAAAGATTACTGAGTTTTCTGCTACTGAACAAAACAACCCCAGCTGAAAATTATCCTATTTACATTACTCTTTTGGAACTTATTTCTACTATAAATTCCAGGAGCAATTTGATTGCACTTGATGCACAGATCTAGAAACCTACACAGGGAATCCAAGTTGTTTTTTAAAAAATACACACAATTATTAAGCACATTATTCTAAACTGGTCTGTTCTGAAGTTCTTGAAAAGTCGTATGTCCTACTTCCTACTACTTATTCTATAGAATATACATTGCATCTAGCACTTCCACCAAGAACCACAGGGTGATATTTCAGGAAGTAGGTTGGACTAGATGGAGGGGAAAGAGTCAGCAGTGACAGAGCATGAGAAAGTTAAGGTGGGAAGATGTGGTCCTCTCTGCTCATCCACATGCCTATTAAAACAAGACCACTCACCCTGCTTTACAGGTGAATGGGGCAAATGCATTAACAAACACATGTTGCTGCCTTCATCATGTCTAGTTTGGTCCAAAGAGAGATTCCAACCTGGAATGAGGAATGAAAAGAAGAGCGACCTCCTTTTTTAAAAAATAACATCTTATAATAATAATAATAATAATAATTTATTATTTATACCCCGCCCATCTGGCTGGGCTTCCCCGGCCACTCTGGGCGGCTTCCAAAAGAATATTAAAATACTATAATACATCAAACATTAAAAGCTTCCCGAAACAGGGCTGCCTTCAGATGTCTTCTAAAAGCCTGGTAGTTGTTGTTCTCTTTGACATCTGGTGGGAGGGTGTTCCACAGGGAAGGCGCCACTACCGAGAAGGCCCTCTGCCTGGTTCCCTGTAACTTGGCTTCTCGCAGTGAGGGAACCGCCAGAAGGCCCTCAGTGCTGGACCTCAGTGTCCGGGTAGAGCGATGGGGGTGGAGACGGCTCCTTCAGATATACTGGACCAAGGCCGTTTAGGGCTTTAAAGGTCAGCACCAACACTTTGAATTGTGCTCGGAAGCGTACTGGGAGCCAATGTAGGTCTTTCAAGACCGGTGTTATGTGGTCTCTGCGGCCGCTCCCAGTCACCAGTCTAGCTGCCGCGTTCTGGATTAGTTGTAGTTTCCGGGTCACCTTCAAAGGTAGCCCCACGTAGAGCGCATTGCAGTAATCCAAGCGGGAGATAACCAGAGCATGCACCACTCTGGCGAGGCAGTCCGCAGGCAGATAGGGTCTCAGCCTGCGTACCAGATGGAGCTGGTAAACAGCTGCCCTGGACACAGATTTGACCTGTGCCTCCATGGACAGCTGTGAGTCCAAAATGACTCCCAGGCTGCGCACCTGGTCCTTCAGGGGCACAGTTACCCCATTCAGGACCAGGGAATCCTCCACACCTGCCCGCCTCCTGTCCCCCAAAAACAGTACTTCTGTCTTGTCAGGATTCAACCTCAATCTGTTAGCCGCCATCCAACCTCCAACCGCCTCCAGGCACTCACACAGGACCTTCACTGCCTTCACTGGTTCTGATTTGAAAGAGAGGTAGAGCTGGGTATCATCTGCATACTGATGAACACCCAGCCCAAATCCCGTGATGATCTCTCCCAGCGGCTTCATGTAGATGTTGAAAAGCATGGGGGAGAGGACAGAACCCTGAGGCACCCCCCACGTGAGGGCCCAGGGGTCTGAACACTCATCCCCCACCACCACTTTCTGAACACGGCCCAGGAGGAAGGAGCGGAACCACTGTATAACAGTGCCCCCAGCTCCCAGCCCCTCAAGACGGTCCAGAAGGATGTTATGGTCGATGGTATCAAACGCCGCTGAGAGATCCAGCAGAACTAGGAAACAGCTCTCACCTTTGTCCCTAGCCCGCCGGAGATCATCAACCAGTGCGACCAAGGCAGTTTCAGTCCCATGATGAGGCCTGAATCCCGACTGGAAGGGATCCAAATGGTCCGCTTCTTCCAGGCGTGCCTGGAGTTGTTCAGCAACCACTCGCTCAATCACCTTGCCCAAGAATGGAAGATTTGAGACTGGGCGATAGTTGGCTATCGTGGCCGCATCTAACGTGGGTGTTTTAAGAAGGGGGTTAATAACAGCCTCTTGCAGCGGGTCTGGGAAGGCTCCCGGGCGGAGGGAAGCAGTCACCACCCCACGAAGCCCATCGCCCAGTCCTTCCCGGCTAGCTTTTATAAGCCAGGATGGGCAAGGATCAAGGAGGCAAGTGGTTGGTTTCACTCGTCCAAGCAGCCTGTCCACATCCTCGGGGTAACAGATTGGAATTGATCCCACACAACTTGACTAGACAGGACTCTAGCACTCTCCCGCCCCGGCCCTGCTCCCACGGTGGAGTCTACCTCTTCTCGAATCTGAGCGACTTTATCTGCAAAAAACTTTGCAAAGTCATTGCAGGAGATCATGTGGCCGCTACTGGGCCCTGATGGAGCAGGTGGTTCCGCTAAATTGCGAACCACCTGAAAGAGTCTCCTGCTGCTGTTTTCCGCAGATGCAATAGAGGCGGTGAAGAAAGTCTTCTTCGCCGTCGCTATCGCCACTTGGTAGGCTCGACATTGAGCTCTAACCCGTGTCCGGTCAGATTCAGAATGGGTTATCCGCCACCGGCGCTCTAGCCGTCTCAGCGATTGTTTCATTGCCCTCAGATCCGTGGAAAACCACGGGGCTGTCCGGACTCCATGCAATCGGAGAGGGCGCTTTGGAGCCAAACAGTCAATAGCCCTGGTTAACTCCACATTCCAGCGGGCCACCAGGGAATCAGCTGAAAGGCCATCAACATGGGATAAAACATCCCCTACCACTCTCTGGAAACCATTTGGATCCATTAAGTGGCGGGGCGGACCATCTGAATCGGTCCCGCCTCCCTGCAGAGGAAGGGTCACGGAGAAGTCCAGTTGCACCAGGAAGTGATCTGACCATGGCACTTCTTTGGTTTCGCTTTTACTTAATGTCAGATCACCAACATCCATAGAGGTGAACACCAGGTCTAAGGCATGCCCGTGGCTATGAGTTGGGCCAGACTTATTCAGGGACAGCCCCATGGAGGCCATGCTTTCCACGAAGTCCCGAGCGGCCCCTTGTAAGGTCGTGTCGGCATGGATGTTAAAATCCCCTAGGACAACCAAACTAGGTGTCTCCAGGAGGACATCCGCCACGACCTGAAGCAGCTCGGGCAGGGAATCCTTGGTGCAGCGGGGAGGTCGGTACACCAATAGGAATCCTGTACTGCCCCTATTGCCCAACTTCCAGAACATGCACTCAGAGAACTGGGTCTTTCCAATAGGACGCCTGGTGCAAACTAATGACTTCCTAAAAATCACTGCAACCCCCTCCCCGCCCACAAGGCCTGGGTTGCTGTGCGTAAGAGAAACCTGGTGGACAAGCAGCGGCAAGGACGGGCCCATCTGCTTCATCCAACCAGGTCTCTGTCACACATGCCAGGTCAAATCCTCCATCCACAATCAGGTCGTGGATGGCAGAGGTTTTATTCATCATTGACCTGGCATTGCACAGCAACACTTTCAGGTCATGTGGGTTTCCCTTGTTGATTCCAGTATCCTTCCGGTCAGGACCAGACCTGGAGGCAGGGATAGTCCTCAAACAACGACTAAGCCTGCTTCCTCGGTAATGACATGGTCTGGTCTTAGCGTAACTCCTCCTCCTACCCGTGATCACTGAGATCGGTTGTCCGAGTGCATCCCCCCCTGTGGAACCTGCCCCAGCCATTTTGTTTGCTGGGACCCACTCCCAGGCAGCCCTGACCCCTCCCCTTAAAATCAAATTAAAGCCTATACAAAAACAAACTAACAGAACAATAAAACTATAAAAACAAAAAACAAAGTTACAAACACAACATAATTAAATTAAACAAATTCCCACACCCAACTAAACACCCACCCCACCCCACATTTGGTGATGTCCAAATGCATTGATAATTTCCGTAGAATGGCTAAATATAGAATCACAGAATTGTATAGTTGGAAGGGACCACGAGGGTCATCTAATCCAATCCCCTGCAATGAAGGAATCTTTTTGCTCAATGTGGGGCTTGACCCACCAACCCAGGATTAGGACTCTTATGCTCTACTGCCAGCTCTTAGGTAAGAGGCAGCTAATTTTTGACAGGCTTTTCGTTCTTTTATGCATAGCTGAACTACGCAGCTCAACTTGAAATAAGGCAGAATATCTGCAGCTAAGGTCCAAGCAGCCTGACAGCACTTGGCAGATAGTTTCTGTTTGTAAAGTCTGAATGAAGGGGCGGGGAAAACGAAAGCCTTACAATCCGTCAGCAAAGACGTTTCAAAATCAAACTTTCTATATGAGAGGAGGAGTTTAAGTAGAATCTGATCTATAATTAAGACACTTGCCACAGGACACACCCCCCCCAAAAAGCACACATTTTTCACTAGCTTCCAATTGCACTGTAAAGTTATGCAAAGAAATCAGCAAACCTTTCAATTATAAAAGGTTAAATGTGACCTAGATATGTCAAAGATGATCAGAGAGACATACTTCAAGCCATCTTTTGGTTGGTTTTTAAAAGTGCCAGACTTATTTACATCCCCTTTAACTATTTACACTCTGTGTTGATAAAAATTTGTCACATTGATACATGCATAATATATGATGTTTACTCAAGCATCCCCAACAGAACTTGCATATTGTCCTCCTTGCCCCTGCAGAATTTCATGAAAGGGTTTGCAATTCATATTTTATTTTGACATGACTGAAACCAGACTGAGTTAAGCAAAGGTGTGCATATAACATTGCATATAGTCAAGAGACCAAGATTGCCGTTTCAGCATTCTGGAGAACTGGGAACAGAGCTGGATTTGCGAACTACCTACCCTATTTCAATGTGTTTCATAAAAAGCAGTAAAAGATTATTGAAACTGGCAATTATTGCCTAAGATGTCCTTTATCAGCACTCTAAATTTAAGCAAATTATTCTGCACTCTTTAATTCTTTGGCTTACACTCTAGGGAGCTGTTTCTCTCTCTCTCTTAAAAATTATTTTAAAATTTACTTTCCTACTTTACAATATACCGTGCAAATAGGTCCAGTAACTCATAGGCTAATTTTTTTTTTTTTAAGTCTATTTTTTCATCTGAAAAAAAAACAACACACAGGTGAGAAGCTGAGCTTTCCTCTCTTCTCATCTTACCCCTTTGTGCCCCATTGCCCCAGGTACTTTTCTCCAGGCCTAGCTCTGATACCAGAAGTTAGCCCAGGGGTCAGCAACCTAAGGCCCATGGACCCCTACCGCCTGCTCGGGGACCCCCACCTGCTCGGTCGGCTCCGCCTGCTCGGGGACCCCCACCTGCTCGGTCGGCTCCTGTAGCCAATGGGAAGCTGTGCATGCCTCCTCTGCACCGGAAGGAGCGCTGAAAAAAGCATATGTGCATGCACGCGCACACTCTGGCCCACCGCAAGGTCTATGGGACCGTGAACCAGTCCAAGCCACTGAGTTAGCCAGACTAGGAGGAAAAGTGTCAGAAGTAATGCAGCACAGGGAGGTAAGAATCACACAGCACTATCTGGTACTGTAGACAGCATCACTTCAAAATGGGAAGGATGTCATCTTTGAATACTCCTTGAAGGTGTTTTTTTCAAAAGCAAAAAACCCAAACACCTCTGTAAGTAAAAATCTATAAGAAGGGACGCGAGTGGTGCTGTGGTCTAAACCACTGAGCTTCTTGGGCTTGCTGATCAGAAGGTCGGCGGTTAGAATCCCCTCGATGGGATGAGCTCCCGTTGCTCGGTCCCTGCTCCTGTCAACCTAGCAGTTCGAAAGCACACCCAAAACTGCAATTAGATAAATAGGTACCGCTCTGGTTTCGGTGTTCCGTTGTGCCAGAAGCGGCTTAGTCATGCTGGCCACATGACCCGGAAAAACTGTCTGCGGACAAACACCGGGTCCCTCGGCCTGTAAAGAGAGATGAGCCCTGCAGTGTCATCTGCGACTGGACTTAACCGTTAGGGGTCCTTTACTTTTTAAAAATCTATAAAGGCATGGAGAAAAGTTCTAGTGCCGCTTTCTATTAAACAAAAACAAAAACAAAAACAAAGGAGAACGTTCATAAAATGTTATCCCCGTCAGCAGCCTGAAGTGTGATTATGTATTATACCACCTTCCACCTCATTCAACCACATGTGTATGCACATTCCAGTGCACAGCACAGTGACACACACAACATGGATATGTGCAATGATTCCTTTAGCTGGGCTAAGTTGCAAGTGATGGAAGAAATCTTTGATGGCAACTGAGTGTAATTTTAAACAGTATGAAAGCACGATGCTTAGATAAGTTAATGAGAAAAGTTCAAATACTTAAATACAGAATAAGACACATAGGCTAAGGTTAGCAAACAATTACTAAGGGGACAAGGAAATCAAATGTCTATAGGAGGAAGCATACTGCTTCAACTTGCATACCTTACAGATTTTCAACTTACTGCCCCACAGCCACAAAAACTTCTGCAGATTGTGTCTTTGGCAATACATCAAGTTTTTTACTTTTCTTTTTAATGGTCTACAGATAAGAGTATTAATTTAAAAGTTACTCCACCTTAACTGTACCCAATATTTTAATTGGGAGTCAAGCTGACCTGCATTTCGACAGAAGGTCTGAAGTCATAACAAGTAGGAAACTTGAAACCTCTGGCAGGAAGTTCCCTAAATTTGCATGCTGACATATATGGAAAGATTATGTCCTCATCTTCACATACCTACCTACCTTGGCTGCAAACGTAACCACATCTACTCAGAAGTAAATTCCATTGAATTCAAGTAGGAGCTTGCAACCAGGTAAGTGAGGTTATTACAGCAGTCTAAAGCCGAAAAGCTAAGGAGCTCCCCAGTAATCTGTATCTTCTGCCTTCTGGAAGAAGGTACAGGGTTATAAAGACTAGGAATAGCCATCTGAGAAACAGTTTCTACCCAAATGCGATTTTGGTTTTAAACGCAGTATAAGGAGTCTCTATGGGAGTATATTGTATTTTAAAATGGGGTATCAGAGTTTTTAGGGGGCTAACCAGGCTGGAATAGCTGGCTTGTTGGTTTGTGAATGTCTTATGTAGATTTTTCAATTTTGCTGTTCTGTATGGGATAATGACAATAAAGATTATCGTATCGTATCATAGCAACTCCTGTGTGCACCCACCCTAACAATAACTATGTCATGCAATGTGAGCAGAACTATGTGCTGGAAGCATGCAGAGTTACATAAAACCCAGAAATAACTATGACCAGTTTTGGAAGCAAGTTTTGCCCGTTCTGCCCCATGTTCCCATGCCAAAAAGTCATACCTACCAGCAAACCCAGGCTACGCGGATGAAATGATGTCACGGGATAGTGCAAGCAGGGATATAGGTTGGAATTAAATGTGAATTCTTCAGTGTGTGCTAATAAGTGTCCCTCCTTGTACAAATAAAGAGGGGAAACTGAATAAGAGGCATAAAAGAATGCATTTGCTCTTTATAACTTTAATGTGCTACATCATTTTGGGTGTCTAAATAAAGAAAGCAAATGCGTCTCACAAATACTACAAGAAATAAATTAATGGTCACTAAGCAAATTTAACAGCCAAGTTGCTGCAGTAATTTTCACATGGGGAGCTGGACTCTCACCAGAGGAGTCATGAATCACATGGCTCCCAGGAGCTCTTGTTGGCACTGTTATTTCTAGTTCAGTATTTGTATCAGCAGGCAAACCTTAAATAAAGGCAACATTTTACCAGCAGAGTAATCAAAAGTTTGACCAGGGTTTTATTTGATTTGCTTTTCTGATGTCATAAAACATTTTCACTGAAGACTGAAAAAGCAGATTATCATAAAACCTACAATTAGGTTATTACTGTCTTGTCTTGATAGTAGAACTTGATTTTACATGCAAAAAACTTCCCCATGTAGCAGAAGCACAAGACATTCGGCACATCAGATATCTGCTTGGTACCATGGCTTAGTACAAAAATTTGGGCTCTAGGAGAGAAGCTACTTTGCTCCTCCCTGGTCTATCTGCAGCAGTATTTAAAAACCTCAATTATGCCATGTTCATAAAAATATGCACTTTAAATCCTTAATACCCTTCAATTATGACCCTCCTAGTGGCACAGCTATAAAACTGCTAGCACATGTGCAAAGCTAAGCAGGGTCAAACTGGATGCGGGACCTTGTGTTGAGATTCCTGCATTGCAGGGGGTTGGACAAGATGGCACTTGGAGTTCCTTCCAGCTCTGATTCTATGACCTCTGCACTGACCATGCTGAGTTAAAGTGAGGAATGAACAGGCATAACTTAACTTTAATGAGGAACCACCAGCTCCAGACTGGTCCTAGCCTGCAGAGCCTTTTGATCCAGCTCATAGCCTCTCCTCCTCTGCCGCACACCTCCACTTCCAGGGTTTTGGTGCTCCTCTTTTGCCAGCTGTGCAGCATGTGGTTCTTCGGTACTCAGCCCTGCATCCCCCTTGCCTCACTGGGATTCCCTGAAGCTGTCTGTGGACAGCGGGTAAAGTTCCTCCTTTCAAGAATAAGCCAAACCATGCAAAACCTGAAGGAAGGTCACTGTCCCTTTAATTCACCCTCATCTTGGGTTCCTCCCTCACAGAGAGCAGGAACGGGGCTTCCACATTGTCCTTGTGGATCTTGCATAGCAGCTATGGCTTCCTGCCTATGGTCTGGTCTGGCAACTGGGAGAAGGAGGTGGTTTTTAAGAAGTGTATTCCCCACCCCACCCTGCCAACCAAGATGCACACACAACACCAGGCACCTATCAAGCAGTTTAATACAAATCGAGCGAAGGAGGAATGTACAAGTGAACATCTCCCCCCCCTTCTTTTCTCTCTCCCTGCCCCCCCCCACACATGGCTTTCCATGGCCTTCTGTTCTTTAAAGTTCCTTTGCCTTGAAGAGTTTGCTGAACTTGTAGTGGAGGAACAGGATACAAAGCATATCTACCAAGAGGGTGGCATTCAGCTAGGTTTTGCTCAGACCTGACCCACTGAAGTGAATGAACATGGCAAAGTTAAGGCCATTACTGTAATTTCAACAGGTCTGCCCTGAGCAAAGCTTGGTTTAAAATCACTTTTTAAGACCAGGGCTTCCCAAACTTGGGTCTCCAGCTGTTTCTGGACTACAATACCTACCCTGCTACGTATTGTGGACTGCAATACCTTCCTGCTAGTTAAGATGATGGGAACTGTAGTTCAAAAACAGCTGGAGACCCAAGTTTGGGAAACTCTGCCTTAGACCAAACTGCGAGACAAGGAAGAGGAGATTGCGGGTTCATGCCACAGAAGCACCCCATTCCTAGAGTGGGTCACAGATGTTAACACTCCCCACTTTTGCCCCCTTTCCTCCATTTTGTTCTGTGAATGGGGGGCATAGTTACATAGGGTGAGCAAGAATACACCGAAGAGAGAACTCTTTTCCTTCTCCCCACCAGTGTTAGAAACTGAGATATGAAAGCTAGGAGCTAAATGGCACCTTAAACCTGGGTTATGGGCGCAATGACGGAATGTCTAGGTGCGCTTTTTTTAATAAGAATACAAAGCTGAAAATGAAGGAACTGTAGCTAAAAATTTATGTTCATTTTTCACATGGTCTAGTCCTTCCCCTGCCCATCCCACCTCTCTAATATTTTTAAGAGGATCTCTTCTCCAGTCTTCAGAGAGTAGCCAGAAGTGAGAAGGCACAAAAAAGGTCTTTCTTTCCACTCTGCAGTTTCCACTCTGCAGTTTTAATCTGAAATCTTAGGCGCAGTACTGCAACCAGAGCTCAGAAATTGCTCACTCCAATGAAATTCCCTGTCGCAAAATGTGCCTAGAACAATGGGAGTTTCGAACACTGAACCCCACCCTAAGGTTCCAGCAGCTGTGATTTAAATTAACAGGTCAGTCTTTCCAGTATCTTAAATAGGCTTTCAAATCCCCCTTTAAAAACACGAACAAGGAAACAAGAGTTATGTTTTATCTTTTCACCTTTAGCGGGTATTGCTGGGTGCCTTACAAACAATTCCTTCTCTCAGTTATTTCTTCTCTTCCTTAGCCTCATTTATTTACAGAGACTAATGCCTGTATACATGGACCCTGCTCACTACTGGTGTGTGTGGCTGCAATGGATTTCGTATTAAAGGAATGTGGCCCTCGAAAGAAAAATGGCTCATGTGAACATTACAGAACATTGGCTTCATTCTTTCCCTTCCCTGGGCAACACTGTCAACTACAGAGAATACATTACAGATAGCATAGCCAAGAAACGTGTGATGTCTACATACAGCTTCACTGATCCAATATTTTCCAGGGAGAGAACAGCGGTATGTATTCCTGTAGTTAAAACATGTGTGAGCAATGAACAAATAAAGCATGACTGCCCAAATAACCTCCACAGAAGTACTTAATGCTGCTTGTATATCTTTGTGCACAGTCTTAAGCATAGATATATTCCCAGTTTCACCTGAATAAAGATGCAACGGAGGCCAAGACATCTTCACAGTCAACAATCTAAAAACAGGCCAATAACAGACTTTATTGCTTGGCTCAGTGAAACTATATTGCTAACAGAATTCCACTCCCAGCCAAAGCAGTTCTGTCAGTCTAAACGCTGTTCTTGCCTATGTCTGAATGAGAAGTGAACAGAATGTCTTCAGCCATGAATCAAACTAAAAGAAAACCGCAGCAGTTATTAAAAATGCACAGGAAGAGCCAAACTCTACAGGTTGCAGCAGACTTGACATGGGTTTTTGCTTCAAACAGGACATGCAAAATATTCACTGCCTTAACATGCACAAAAACAAAATGGCAGCAAAATAGCCCCTCTCATAAAGCATCAAAAGAGCAACGTAAGAGGATCAGGAAATGTAAATACTCTCGACTTTAAGATGTCTCAGGAATTGCATATGTTCAGCCAAGAAGGCAAGGGAGAACTGTGATCCCATGTGAGGAGGAACTGAACTCTCTACAACATTTAATTTCCCCACTACCCTTCTCTGAAGAATGTTAAAAAGACTGCATCGCATCCATCCTCCCAGAAAACCCCCACGATAGCTCAGTTAGCTGAATATTAGAAAGCAACACATATAGTGCTCAGGGGCAAGAGTCTGTCTACATTTCACTATATGATTGTGCTAGTATGGTACTTGAGCTCTGCATAGTTCACTGGACAGCACCCTTGAAAACCACAACTGATTTATTGAAACAACCAAACAACAGAAGTCCAGCACAGCAATGGTTTCCATTAGACAAACCATCAAGGAATAAAACATTAGCCAAGCAGCCCACTTTCATAGTCACCAGTGTTCCATGAGAAGTTGTGTTACCCTGTAACTGTTCTCAGGATCTGCTGGTAACATGACAAAGGAACAACCGAGGAAATCGAGGACCATAAAACAAAGAAATTAACTGCTTATATATATTATGCAGCAACAAAGCTATAAACTCTTAGAATTGAAGCGTCTGGGGAAAGTCAGTAAGAGCAGAAACAAAGTGGAATCTAGAGAATGGTGTTATGAAGATTATTTAGACTACATTTTGAATAGGCAGCAAAAGAATGAGGCTCGCCATAACAATTCATAGTTGTGCCAGGGATATTGTGACTGCAAATAATGTGGCTGTCAAGAGCGCATCCATGAAAAACATTGTTTTCATTATAAGAAGCACTTGCAAGGCGGCCTACAAATCTTTACTATCTGCATTTATAGAATCATAGAATTGTAGAGTTGGAAGGGGCCCTGAGGGTCATTTAATCTAACCCCCTGCAATGTAGGAATCTCAACTAAAGCACCCATTCCAGATGGCCCTCACATTGAAATTTAAAGGCAGTAAGTGGTTAGAGTGTTGGAACAGGACTTGGAGACCCAGGTTCAAATACCCACAGCGATGAAGCTCACTAGGCGATCTTGGGCCAGTCACTGTCAGTATAAACTACTACAAAGGGTTGTTGTGTAGATAAAACAAGGAGGTGCAGAACCATGTACAACACCTCAAGCTTTTTCTAGGAAAGGTGGAATATGAATGTAATAAATATAGCTACTTAAAAATCTACCTGGTGCACACAGGAGAAGCAACAGGACCTATATGATAATTTGTGATTTGCTATGTAGTAAAAAGCAGTAATAAAGGTGCTTACTTTGTTTTTTGATGGTGCAAAATGTTTATTCTGGGTATTCACAGTTTTCATTTTCAATCCTCACGTATTCAACTACAGGAAAACCACCTCTGTGCTTTGTAAGGGCATTTACCACTCCCATCTCTCAACACTGTTAGTACTTATACCCAGCAAACACATAATTAAAACACGTCACAGAACAGAAGAAGTGTTTGTTATGACATTCTAAGATCAAAAAGCACACTGCTGAATTTGCCTCCATCTGTGCCAGTACAAACATTTCCTACGTCTCACCAGTAATTGCCATGGATCAAAGATAACGGGGGTAGTAGGAAGAGGTCAGATCAGGAGGAGTGTGATAATACAAAGCTCAGGGCAGAATCATAACTGCAGAACATCAAGATTTTGACAAGCATAATGAGTGGAAGAAACACTGTAAGAGTGGCAGCCATATTCGTATCAGCAGTACACACACCCTGGAAAACCTACAGCGGTGATAAAGCATCTCATTATTTTATTATGCTTCCTTGTGCAGACTCATGGGACCATAAACGAACCTAAAACATTCTCTTTGCTACTTCACTCATCACCATAATTTAAATGCAGAAAGTTTATGGAAATTCTGCTTAATTTACTATTTAAGAACTGCTCATTCATCTACTTTTGCTCAATGCAACACAACTGCAGGAAAGCCTTCTCAACAACGTCAAGCATATTCTAAGTTAGTGTGCCTTTTGTTTCATATACACTGTGCTTTGCAAACATCATCTACTGGTAATTAATCCCCATAGCAACCCATTGAGGTAAGTATTACTACACGTATTCTACGCATAGGAAAACTTGCCCGGAGCCACAAAACTTGTCACTGGCTCATTCAGGATTAGACTGCAGAGGTTTCCAATTCCAGCTTTCATGCCCTAAGTTAAAGACCACACCTCTTTCTCATATGCAGCATGCACACTTGCTCAGGAACACGCAAACACAGGATTCCTTTCTTTTAGACGGCAGTTTTCTGAAGGTTAAACAAGTAGGACAGCAGAATATTCACAAAGACACTTCTCAGAGTCTCAGCCAAAAGTGGATTAGGGGATTTCATAGAGAAAAGTATAATGTAGTAGCAACGATAATAACAACAATAACAATGGTGTCTACACGTAAAAGATTATGCTTTGGGAGTGCTGTATTACACGATATATTGTTTCTAAAGCTACAAAAGCAAATGAGAAACAAAGAAACCCATTTAATATCCCACTATCAGGGTTTTAAACAGCTGCAACATTTTTGCAATGATTCCCCCCCTTTGTGCAACTGCCTCAATTTCCAGATCAAATGCCATTAGAAAGGATATTAGAAAGGGATATTACACAGCAAAACACAAAGCAAGACAGATTTTGTTTGTTTGAGATATATTAACCAGTATTAACCAGGCTTCAAAACCAAGCATAGCCTGAGATTTCATCTCATGTTTGCTATCTAGCAGCAGTGACTTCCTCCTTTCCCTATTAACAATCCTTTCATAGGACTTTGTTTCCTTGACAAATGTTTATATTATGACCATAAACAGAGCAATATAACAGACCTAACCCTCCTTAACCAGAATTAATGGGATTTGTATGCCCTGACCACCCGTCCTTTAAAACAGACTTGTTCCAGTTCTAACTCACCAGTAAACTGAGGAGCTCTACACACACACACACACACACACGGTATGTAGGGGTGACCAGGGGCAAAATAGGGGACTAGATGCAGTGCACAAGTAGATGGCAGAACGGTCAGATCTATTAACGGTTACATAATTTAAACCAACTAACGAAATGTGACCTAACCCATGATGCCTAGCTGAGAGATTGTTCATTTAAGGGCTTACTGGGGGTACCAGTTCAAGTCATCTTTTTTGCAATAGTCCAAAGCAGTATCCCCACCCCACCCCTATGAACCAACCATTAGCTCACAGCATGCTCACCTTGTCTCTGGCTCTTGCCCAGCTACTGGATGTCCTCCCGCTTGTGGAAGCTGATGCTGGCATATGCACTTAATTCATCACCCAAGTGGCTACTCCCACAAGGCTGATTAGGAGATTTAGGTGGCTGATGCTGCTGTGTCGGCTGCTTGACCCCTAGCAGAGAAGCGCTCTCCTGAGGGTGGGGGTGGGGATGATGCTGGCGGTGATTAAAATCCTTCACTAAGTCCAGGTCGATGTAATTGAGCCCATTCTCCACGCCACCCCCAGCTGCCTGATCCCTCCTGAACGCCGCTGTGCCAAGGCCGGAGAAGGCCCCTGCCTCCCCAGATGCAGGCTTGAGCCAGACGTTTTCGAAGGAGGCTGAGCTGTGGCGCTTGGCGTCTTCAGAGCCTCCTCCTGGTCCGTGGGGCAGGGCTGAGGCCCCAAGGCCACCACCAGGCGTGGTCGAGGAAGCAAACGTCTCGGAGCTGTGGCGCCGCCGGCCTCCCTGAGGGTCAGCACGAATCACTTTGGCACTCTGGTTGCTGCGGCTGGGGCTCAGGCTGACGTGCGTGAAGGCGCTGCTCATCCCCGGGGGCCCCATCATGGACGAGTGGGGCAAGACAGCCGGCAGCTCCCCCGGCTGCGCCTGGGGGTGTTGAGAAGGCAGGCCCACAGGTGGGGGGCTTTTCTCCGGCCTGCCGCGACCCATCCTCATGTCAGCGTAGCTGAGCAGGAGGGCCGGAGGGGGAGGAGAGGGGGTGTGGGCACACACTACATACTGCCCCCCGTTGCCCAGCTGCATGCTCATATAGTCTCGGCCACCGGGGGGAGCTGCCCCGGCCCGGCTTGGCTGCATGGATGCCAAGGTAGCTGGGCAAGCTGCCCCCCAGTCCATATTCATATACTCCTCTGAGCTAGAGCCAGCATCTCCGTGGGGCAAAGGCGACGGGAAGGCAGGTTGCTTGAACTCAATGTTCACGTACTCACCAGGGCTTTTGGGCTCTGGGAGCTGTTCCCGAGCCCGAGGCAGAGTGCTGGCCTTTGGGCCATCCAAGGACAGCCGGGTAGGCCTGGCTAGGCGGCTCTTGGTCCGCACAGCTGCGTCCACAGTACAAGAAGGAGCAGGCTGCAATGGCTGTGTCTGTGCGGGAAGGGCATACCCCACACCCTCCTGTCCCCCAGGGCCACCGAGGCTGTCACTACTAGTGGAGGAGGAGGAGTCCTCGGCAGCAGCGTAGAGCAAGCGGCCGGAGCTAAAGGACATCCGCATCTGGGCATTTCCCTCTTCGCCTGTCCTGCGTTGCATGTGCTTGAAGGAACGTGGCAGGGAGAAGTAGGAGTAGATGGGCTTGTGGTGGGACCGGGTGGGTCCTTGCACAGATGGCTCTTCTGGGCCTGGAGGTCCTGAGCTGGCGAAGTAGCAATCTGGAGGGGTGCTGGTAGCAGATCCACTAGCTGGAGACATGTTGATGTAATCGCTCCCACCACTCGGCAGCTTCCCCTCATTGCTCTCCACGGAGAGCTTGGGGTGGTGGCTAGTCCCATTCATCCATAATTTGCTGTAGGCAGCAGAACCACTGTCTGGAGAGCAGCTGCCGCTGGGAGACATCATCATGTAGCCATTGGAGTCCACTGTGGCCTGTACATGACGGCCTCCTCTCCCAGGGTTGATGATCTGCTGTGGGGCAGACACACTCTTAGGGCTCATGGGCATATAATCACCACCTTTGGGAGTACTACCACCATTGGGAACTGGGGCCACTCCTGGCAACATTGGCATGTAGCCATCATCAGTGTGTGGGGTAGAGTTGGTCCGGTGGTGGTTGCCCTCCACCTGATGCATCTCTAGACACTCCTCAGGGTAAGAATGGGTTGGTACAAAGGCAGAATGTCGATAGGAGGAGAGCCTGCTGCCGCCACAGGAATAAGAGGGGAGCATCTCGGTATATTCCTCAATGGAGGCCACTGAAGACTGCGAGGGAGTCTTCTGGTGGGAGATGGTAGGGGAGGTACCAGCTGAATGAGTCCTTTTCCTGAAGCCTTTCTCCGGATCACCCACATCCTCACCGCCAAGGCGGGGGCAGCAGGGGGCAGCAGGGCAGCGGGTCTGCTGCTGTTGAAGGTGGCAAGTGCGGGGGGTGAAATGACCATTAGGAGCTGCGATGCTGCAGCAGGACGAAGCAGCCTTCCCTCCCATGCATATGTAGTTGCTGAGCTCCTCGTCTCCCCGGGCAGGTGGGGTGTGTCCTAGAGAATCAGGGGTCACGCTGCGGAAGGAGCTGCGGAAGTCACAGGGACTGGATCCATACTCGTCTGACGAGATGAAGCCCCCGTCGCTGGGGGAGCCAGAGACCGAAGCGCTGGAGCGACGCGGGAAGAGGCAGTCCGAGGTGGAGCCGTGGCCACTTGTGCTGCTGGACGACAGGCTGACCGGGCTCGTAGCAGAAGGGGAGCAGCGCGAGGAAGGCATTGGGATGGAGCGGCTGTGGTTGAGAGGGGGGTGGAGCCTAGAGCTGCCACGGTGCCTGTGCGAGTTGGTCCGGTTGGCGCTTGGGCTAACTGGGCTCCCGTCCACCGAAGCTGGCCTGGACATGGTACCTTCTCCATCACTGGAGGCTCTGACACGGAAAGAGTTGGGCTTGCCCCCTGTCCCTCCTCCCACACCACTGCCAGCAGGAGAGGTAGCTGTCACGCTCTCAGTCCTGGACCTACGGCTGAGCCCCACCTGGCTGGGTGGGGGGTTGTTGACATGGTGCCTGCTGCGGAGAGGCACCGATATAGGGTTGGAGCAGTTGGAGGAGGACTGGCTTTTGCTACGGGGGCGGAACTCCTCGCTCATGGCCCGCATAGCCTCCAAGATGGTCTCATGCATGTTCTGGGCTACTACCGAGTCATCTACTTGCATCCAGAACTCACCTGGTCCGGTGACCGCAGAACGCCCCACCTCAATGAAAAAGAAGTTCTCCGAGTGGCCACACCGCCGGATGTTGAGCAGCTGCAGCACCACGGCTGCCGCGTCAGAGTTCAGCTTGACGAAGCTGATGGTCTTGTTGGTTAGGCACAGGCGGTAGATGCCGATCAGATTCTTAGTCTGGCCCAGACCCTTGGGTTTCAAGATCACCTGCCAAACTTCCTTGAATGCTGGGCCAGGAGCCATATCACCATAGGTGTCCTCCCCTGCCTCTCCCATCCCAATGCTTCCACCACCCATGGTGACATCCCCGTGGTGGTGGTGGTGATGATGGTGGTGGTGGTGATGGTGGTGCTGATGGCTCTTGGCCCGGTTGTGCAGTTGTAGCAGAGCCTGGTACCAACTCTCCTGCTCAGGCTCGCTGTCAGCAGCAATGGCAAAGTGTTCGTCCTTAGTGTAGAGCGCCACAAGGTACTTATTTTTGGAGTCTGCCCTCTTGTTGATGTTGAAGCAGCTCTCCAGCGGGATAGAGCGCTTGGGGCCCCCCGACTTGTGCCTCCACTTCTTTTCATTTTCATAGTACTCCAGCCGGGCGGGTCCGGACTCGCTGGCTGCCCTCAGCACGAAGAAGCGCTTGTGCATGCTCTTGGGTTTGCGCAAGTAACCCACCTTCCTGACATCTGAGAAGAAGCCCTCGTTATTATCCGTGGGGCTCGCCATGCTGGAAGGGGAGAGAGGTGGCAGAGCAGCTCTCCTACTGCAAACAGGCAGCTTCCAAAACAGCAGAGGGGGAAACAAAGCAACAACAACAAAAGAGAACTAACGGAGCAGCCCAAAATCCAATTCTTGCAGCAGCAGCAACCAAACAAAACAAAACCCCAGCAAAACAGCACTGCAAACCTCCCCCCTCCAAAAAGGGGATAGGAAGAGAGTAGCAGGCAAGAGAGCAGCTGTTCAGCGTCCTTCCAGCTCCAGAAGCAGAGTTTGGGTTGCTGTTTTTATTTCCAAATCACCCTTCGCAGGAGAAACGTGGCTTTCAAAAGTCCAGTCCAGGAAAGTCTCGTCCGAGCAGCCGCCGGGAAAGGGGAGAAGTGCATAATTTCATCCGTGAGGGGTGGAAATTCCTCCAGCGACGGGAGCAGGATGGGGTTCCCCCGTCGCTTCCCTCCCAAACAAACAGCCCCCTCCCCTTCTCAAGTTACCCCTCAGCAAGGAGCGAATTTCAGATGCCGATTAAATATCCTCTCGCGTTGGGAAGGGAAGATTTGCTTTTGCAAAAAAAATAATAAGAGGAGAAGGGAGGAAAGTCTCCGTCGTGAACGCAGGCAACCCTTCTTTCCGAAAGCAAAAAAACAACAACAGTCAGTCAAAACACCACGCCAACCACCTTGTTTTTCTTCCCCGCCAAAAAAATGTCAGTCAAAATATCCTTCGCGGGAGAGAGAGAGATTGGGCGGGGGGGGGGGCGCGTCGAAAAGAACCCAAACAAACAAAATATCGGGGGGGGGGAATCAGCGCCGCTGAGACTGCAGCTTCTTCAGCTTGTGCAGGAGAAGACTGGCGACCCCATTCAGTCCCGTCTGGTTAGGGCGAGAAAGTGCCATTTCGACACAAAACGCGGGCAGGCGGCTGCAGGGGCGAGAGCCGGGAAGGAGAAGGCGAGGAGGGGAAGCTGCCCGAGCGGAGGAGAAGGAGGAGGAACATCCTCGCGGCGGCGGCGGCGGCTCCTGCTTCCACCTCCTCCGCCTCTTCTTCATTCCAGTCGGGAAAGTCTCGGAGGGCACTCGCAGCAGCGGCGGCGGCGGCGGAATCCGTCTCCCTCCTGCACCACCGCTACGTCCTCTTCCTCCTCGTGCGCCCCAGGATGAAGGAGGCGAGCGAGGGGGGGAAACAGCAGCCGCCGGACTTGCTTGCTTGCTTTGCTCGCTGGCTTGTCTCTCCCTCTCCCTCCTCGGGCTGCTGCTGCTGCTGCTTGCGGCGGCGCCTGCAGTAGCTGCAACTCCGCAGACTTTCCCGAAGAGCCCCCGCGAACCAAAACAAGCGGCTGCCGTCTGTGTTTATTATGAGTCCAGCCCCCTCCAGCCGCCGCCGCCGACACTCCGTCTCACTCCTAGGAGAAAAACACGTGATGGCGCCAGTGCGTGGACCATCCCCATCTCCAGCCCCAGCAGCAGCAAGAGCGCGGGAGAGCAGGGCGAGGTGGGAGGGAGCGGGGTGGAAATAAGCGCCCACGCGCAGCCTAGCTTAGTTAGCGCGGCATTCCAAGCCCGCCTTCCCGCTCCCATGCCTGCCGCGGCGGCGGCTTTTTCATTCAGCACCGCAGCCAGAGCGCTTACCTTTAGGCGCTGATCGCGTCCGGAGCCTCGGCGGGGGGTCGCTTTCCTATTGGAGCACCTGCCTGTCCTTCTCTGGGCCTCCTAAGGGTTGTGTGGAGAGAGCCAGACGGGGAGGCAAACCCAGGCTTGGTTGAGAAGCGCGGCGTAGTAGTTTGTTATGTATAATATGTGTGTGTGCGCGCGCGCGGGAGCGAGCTCGCGCCTTCTCCCCCCCCCCCCACATACACACATATATATATATGAGGGAGAGAAAGAGTAGACGCCATTCACTGGCGTGATATTTATAAAACGAGGGGGTTGCGGGTCTCGCTTTGCCTTGCCGCCGCCGTGATTGAAGCAAAGGCGGGCGCCGTGCCGAGGTTTTTCATCCCATAACCCCCTCATTATTTAAAACAAAATGATTTGTAGGGAATTAAAAAAAAAAAAAAAGGTCACGATTTGCAGCGCTTTGCGGAATAATTAATATTTCCCCCAGTCGCCACGAATTGCTCCTGTTTTCCCTCCCTTCTCGTTTCCGCTTGTCAACCTAGCATTCAGGTCCCCCAAGCCTTAAACGTTTACATGGAAGCAAGTCCCATTGAATGTTATGGATTTTTAATTCCCCCCCCCCCAAAAAAGGTCGAGGATAGGGGAACTTGTGGCGCGCCAGGTATCGTTGGACTGCAGCTCCCATCACCCCTGGCAATTGGCTCTGCTAGTGGGGGCTGATGGGAGCTGTAGTCCAACAAAAAATGTCTGGTGGGCCACAGGTGCCATATATATAGGTTTAGGATCCGTTTTCCAGCAATTACTCCTGAGGGGGACCAGAAAACATGACTATAAGAAGAGGGGTGGGCAAAATATCAACCAGAGGGCAAGAAGAAGTCGTGCTCCCACTTTGGGGGGGTCACACATACTGAAATCTGAATAGCCCAACAAATGACACAGAAATTGGTTTTCTATGTTCCCCTCCCTTTCCACAAGATGTGGCGATGCCCCTTTGTTTACATGGCTAAAAGGGGGCTAGACAACCCTGTGGACAGATCTATCCAGAAGTATGTTCAGAGACAGTGTGCAATGTTTGCTACGCTGAAACACTCATACAATATGCATTCTGTGATCAACTCCCGTCCGGAAACCAATGTCCCCACTGTGGAAGGACGTGTGGATCCAGAATTGGCCTCCACAGTCACTTACGGACTTATTGTTAAAACCGTGTTTATGGAAGACAATCTTACTCAGCTACAAGTGATCGCCAAAGAAGAAAGATGCATTCTGTAACATCTGGTCACCACACCTCAAAGAGGGTGTTGTAGTGCTGGAAAGAGATGCAGAAAAGGGCAATCAACATGCTCAGGTGATTAAAAAAATTCCCTAACATGAAAGCTCACAGTGTTTGGGGCTTTGGGGGAGAGGGCGGTGAATAAGTGGGGACATGAAATCATACATATTCTGAACAGGGGTGGTTTCTTTCTTTCTCTGCCTTTCATAATACCAGAACCCAGGGTCATCCAGTGAAGCTCAATGGTGTAAGACTTGTAACAAACCAAAGTACTTCTCCACACATTAGATAGTAAAAGTTTGGAATTCGTTTACAAAACAGTGTGGTGTGGCTTCTAATTTACACATCTTTAAAAGGGGATGCGGGTGGCGCTGTGGGATGCGGGTGGCGCTGTGGGTTAAACCACAGAGCCTAGAACTTGCCGATCAGAAGGTCAGCAGTTCGAATCCCTGCAATGGGGTGAGCTCCCGTTGCTCGGTCCCTGCTCCTGCCAACCTAGCTGTTCGAAAGCACGTCAAAGTGCAAGTAGATAAATAGGTACCGCTCTGGCAGGAAGGTAAACTGCGTTTCCGTGCACTGCTCTGGTTCACCAGAAGCGGCTTAGTCATGCTGGCCACATGACCCGGAAGCTGTACGCGGGCACCCTCGGCCAATAAAGTGAGATGAGCGCCGCAACCCCAGAGTCGGTCATGATTGGACCTAATGGTCAGGGGTCCCTTTACCTTTAAAGGGGGATTAGGGAAGCTTGTGGAGGATAAGGCTATTAATGACTATTAGTCATTATAAATACCTCCAGCAGAGCAAAAGCAGAAGAGTGCAATCATGTTCCTTTCCTGTTTGTAGGTTTTCCATAAGCATTTGATTGACTACGGTGGGGAACAGGATACGGGACTAGATATTGGCCTTCGATCTGATCCAGTAGGACTCACCTTATATTCTTATGGGCTAGCAGCTGATACTTGGAATTATTTGATCAAAACTGAAAAGTGCTGATCATATGTATTCTTCCAGGCAATAATGAGGCTACCCAATGGTAATGAATGTGTGGTGTAGACATCCAATTTTATCTCTAAATTTACTTAATCTGGTAATCATTGAAACAACTCAGCATGAATATGAATGTGCAGGCTGTTAGGATGCCCACTCTTTGTTCTTGCTATTATCATTGTTTAAAGTTTTATGAAGCCTTCTGAGTATTAAACAATGAACATGAAACCAATAACACCTTTTCTATTACAAAGTTTTAATGTTCTTATACTCTGAGTCACATGAACTCAGCCTACAATTAAAGCATTGGTTTGGTGATGACACTGGTATCATTACCACTGTGTCACCTGGATGAATGAGGTAGTCTGAGCCCAGCATTTTATTGCCAGTTTCAAGTAAACTGCAAATTAAACTTGCTGTCATAGATCATTGTTTAGAAAAATTGCTTTAACAATCATGGACAATGGATACACCTGTACATTTGTTTAAACTACAGCTGCACTATTGAATAAAGAATATGATGTTGATGCCATTTAATACTAAGCCTCAAAGTACATTATTAAGAAAATTAGAAAAAGTACCCATTCTAAGGCTATCATCCTCAGCATTCTTGTTTAAAAATATTTTTTAAAAAATGAATAGGACTTGTTTCCAAGTAAATGAGTTTTAGGAGTGGAGTAACACTGCCATACTCTAGTCAAATATGTATACTTTTTTAAACCTTCAACTACAACCTCAATTAAACCATAGAATCTAACAGACATTGTGGTTATTCTACTAACTCTATATTTGTATATCATCTATGCAGCTTTCCCATACATTAATGTTGTCATTCTAGTTCACTTTATGAATATTTCGGCTTCTCCCAGTTAAAGGCAGGCAAACAGAAAGAATACACACAGAGAAAAATATTCCCAAGAAGAGAAGGAACAATGCTGAGATGTGGTGGTTAGAGTGTTGGCCTATGGCCTTGGAGACTAGGATTCAAATCCCCACATAGCCATAAAGTGCACTGTGTGGCCTTGGGTCAGTCACTGTCTCTCAGGGTTGTGAGAATGAAGTGAAGAGGATGGGGGACCATGCATGCCACCTCCAGCTATTCAGTGGAGTTGCGATGATATCATAATCATGGGTTCATTTTGAACCATCAACAACAAGTTAAAGCTGAATAGCTTAAAAGAGGGAAAGGTCATATGCCTACAAATCTGATTTTATTATTGCAAACGACTTGGACTTGAAAAGCAATATACAAACACTGTAAAGTAAATATAACTGGAGTTGTCTTTTATGAAATACACACAGATTTAGATTTAATTCTTATCAGTGCTATTTTTCTAGAAAAATTGGTGCAGGAAAGCACCATGAACGCTTCCCTTGTTCTCTTAGAATGGCAATGGTGCCCACCTGAGAGGTGCCAAAACTGAGTTCCGACAAGTTCCGGCTGAAAAACAAGCCCTGATTCTTATATATCTGCATTATATGATTTTGTCGGTCATTATTGAGGGATCTTTGATTCTGAAAGTTAGAAAATGCATTGAATTTTAAGCAGTACTAAATAATAGGCAAACCATCTTTCAGACAAGGAAAGTCAAAATCTGGAACCAGTGTGATCTTAATTATGCATTGCATTCAGGTTGCCCACTGCTTAGCATTGCGGCTTGAAGGTTAACTTCCTGATCCTAAGCACATCGTGGTGTTAAACTGGTTTACTTGTAGTCTGATCTTAAGCATATTTACATGAAAGTGAATTGAGAAATGGTTATAGCTCAGCAGCAGAGCAACTGCTTTGCATGCAGAAGGCTCCACGTTCAATCCTTGGTATCTTGAGGCTGGGCTGGGAGAGACCCCAGTCTGACTGGGGGTCATACTGGAGAGCCATTGCTAGCCAGTATAGACAGTACTGAGCTAAATAGACCAATGGTCTGACTCGGTATAAGGCAGTTTCCTACGTTCTTATGTAGTAATTTCAATGGGACTAATTTACTGATAAGCATGCTTGGGATTGCTTCCCTAACCACAACTTACTACAAACCTATGCACATTTATCTTAATGGAACTAACTGTGCACAGGACTTGCCTGTACAACCTGTTGGAAGCAGTGGAACTCAAGGTAACCACAAGTAATTTCTTATACCACTTTCAATCACTTTTAACTAACATTTGCTAGACCAGAGCTCTTGAATTCTGTATGGATGACATCCCAGCCCCGTATCCTGCTTCTTAGCTTACTAGTACAAGTCATTTGAGAATTGTCCTTTGAATACTTCTGCAATCTGCAAATCTGTATTGCTTATTCAGTTCTGAATTTATAGCCTTTGTTTCATAGAACTAGATACAGGAATTATCTATCTCCTCTCTATTCATCATGATAATGCTTGAGTTTGGAGTTTTATTGATGACTGGAGAGTTGGAGACATGTCATTTCTGCACTTGCTGGGCTTCTCTTTGTTACTTTCAAGGATTTGCTAAATTGTTGCCCATGAACATTTTCAGAATGAGCATTTTGCTTTTGAGAGGGTTAATTGTTCCCTTCCGAACTCTTGCTTTTATATTTTCCAGCACTGTTCACATCCATTGTCTACCATCCCCACTGCCTCCATAGCTCCTTCCTGGAGTGATCCCAGCCAATCAGGGATTTTGTCATGAATGCGACAACACTTCTTACATCAAATGTAGCTAATTGAGGGCAATGCTTCTTTGGATGGTCACATGGGTGATCCTATCAAATCAGAAAAGCATAATCATTTCGGCACAAAAGAATAAAAAGAAATAAAAACCCATAGTAGGATGGTACCTTAATTAGGCCAACCAATTACAGTAGTGTCACAAAATATGTAAAGCAAAGTAGGAGGGGAAAGCTGGCTTGTTAAAAGCCACAAAGTCTTCATAGGTATCTGTACTAAGTTGGTACAGTCATACCTCGGGTTACAGACACTTCAGGTTGCGTTTTTTTGGGTTGCGGACCGCTGAAACCCAGAAATACCGGAACGAGTTACTTCCGGGTTTTGGCAGTCATGCATGCGCAGAAGCACTAAATCGCGCTTTGCGCAGAAGCGCCAAATCACAACCCGTGCATGCGCAGACGTGGGTTGCGAACGCTACGGGTTGCGAACGTGCATCCCGCACGGATCACGTTTGCAACCCGAGCGTCCACTGTATATGGGAAGAGAAAGTAGACTAGATAGATTAGGTACTTCCAAATGGACAGTTTAAAAGAAATGATCTGTGGTGGCAATGTACTTTATGAGCAACCCTCTCTTATCTTTGTCAATTTGCCAAGAAAGGAAAAGGTTCATGCTGTAAATCACCCCTTTTGCTAGTTTAAAGGAAGCAATCCATAGCGCAAAGCCTCCCCCACATTTGGCAATGAGTTTGCTAAATATCTGGAGGGAAAGAGAATACTGCAGATCTGTTGCTTCCTCTAAAAACTGACAAAGTACTTGCAAACTGACTTGAGAAGAGAAGGGATGCTGCTGCAAATCTTTACTGTCTCTTGCAGTGGGGAGAAAAACGCTGAATGGGAAGGTTTTTTTTATACCTTTAATTTTTTGTGAAACTCCCCCTCCCTTTAGCCTAATTATTTTCCTAATGTACTATCACCTGTATGTCGCAAAAATCTTTATACAGTATACTAAATTAAATTAAACGTGCAACATGATTAGCATTTTGAAGAATGCAAACTTTTATTTCTACTTAGTTGGTCTCTAAGGTGCTACTGGACAATTTTTTAATTTTTAATTTTTATTTCAGTTGCAGTATTTAAGAAGAAGCACTGCTGTGCAACAATCCAATAAAGGAAAATACATTGCTCAATGCTGCCATCTGTAGGCCAGTCATATTTCTTAAATGCATTTTATCCAAAGAGATACGTACAGGTAACTCACAACGTGCAATTTCAACTTTGCATTGCTGAAGGCCAGCCTGTTGTAATCACAGAAATTAAATGCATGGCACAGAGCTTAAAAGCACTTTTTGCTCAGGGTTTTCCTGGCGCAGAAAGAGCTTTGAAACTCCCTTACTTTTGGGGGTAAGACCCATTGAGTCCACCTTCATTACTGCCCCTGCTTCAGACTCTGAGCTAACTTTTAAGTCTTTAGCCCTTCTAGAAAGAAAGAGATGGGGCATAATGTGCAAGTACCCTTCTAAGTGATTTCTATGAAACGAGTCAGCCTAGCTGCTCCTGTCTGTAAGTGTTATTAGCCAATGAGTAATGTCAAAGCTGTGACTGATAAGTCTGGACACCAGGACACCCTGCGGGTCCCAAAAGACTGCTGTCCTTAGCATTCTTTCTTTTGTGCTAGCAACAAGAATACATTTTATTCCTGTGGTGAGTTTATCTGAGATCAAGAATTAATTTCTGCAACTGCAACTACTCTGTAAGTGCAGGTAGATGTTAAACAATCACCTCTCCAAAGGGCAAATGCAAAATGTGAAAACTTTGCAAAGAGGCTTAAGCATGTCTCCTACTCTACAGCACCTAATGCAAGTCAATCACTAAGAATTCACTATATAGTTAACTTACGGTATGACGATATATATGTCTACTTAGAAGTAACTCTATTTGTGTTTAATGGGGCTTTCACCCACACAAGTGGATATAGGTTGGCAGCCTAGGCTTTGGTTTAGGTTTGGCATTGGAGAAAACAGGGGGGTTGTGTTTTTAACAGCTGTGTTTTCACAATCAGGCCCAGCAGGACATAGCTGACTTCCCACGGTAAGCATGAAGTAATCCGGGGGGGGGGGGAGAGAGACAAGCATAAATGGCAGTACTGTCATGCCCCTATGACAGCCATTTTGTATTATGCCATAGTCTCATGGCAGCCCAAACAAAACTGGCACCCACATTACTCTCAAAATTCAAAATGTATTCACTGAATTTAGTATCTGTGAATGTGGATTGCAGAAGCAGAATGAATGACACATCCAAGCCCAAGATTAGTTGTTGTTGTTGTTGTTGTTGTTTAGTCGTGCCCGACTCTTTGTGACCCCATGGACCAGAGCACGCCAGGCACTCCTGTCTTCCACTGCCTCCCGCAGTTTGGTCAAACTCATGCTGGTAGCTTCGAGAACACTGCCCAACCATCTCATCCTCTGTCGTCCCCTTCTCCTTGTGCCCTCAATCTTTCCCAACATCAGGGTCTTTTCCAGGGAGTCTTCTCTTCTCATGAGGTGGCCAAAGTATTGGAGCCTCAGCTTCACGATCTGTCCTTCCAGTGAGCACTCAGGGCTGATTTCCTTCAGAATGGATAGGTATGATCTTCTTGCAGTCCATGGGACTCTCAAGAGTCTCCTCCAGCACCATAATTCAAAAGCATCAATTCTTTGGCGATCAGCCTTCTTTATGGTCCAGCTCTCACTTCCATACATCACTACTGGGAAAACCATATGAAGGGGCCAAGATTAGTAGCCGAATACAAACCTGCCTTGTCTCCGTCTCCATAGGTCAAACTGGTAATTGCAGTCCACTTAACCAGCATTGCAAGCATAACAACACAGTAATATACAGAGTGTATCTTTTTTGAAAAATTCTACTGATGATACCTATGGGTAATGTATTACTCCCTCCCTGCCATACTTCTTCCCTTGTTGTTTTACTTTCCTTTCTTCTCTGGATTTTCCTGAGACTGCAGAGGCACTTTGGCCTCTGGCTTTGACCAGGGAACCAAGGACCACTGGGCAGCCGTTCCCCTTCTCTCCCAGGAAAAACATATTGACAAGAGCCTGGCCCTATCTATCAACAAGAGAGGAAGCAGCTGCATGGAGCTTGCTTTGCCCACCCCACCCTAGCTGGAAAAAGTACTTGAAAGAACTTTATAATGAAAAAGTAGCACCTGAGTTTGCTTCTCTTCCTCCTGCCCCTTCTCCTTCTCAATCACTTTCCCTTTGGGATTATAAACCTGAGGACAGGGACTGCCTTATTATTGATTGTCACCAGCCGTCTGGAAGTATTTTTCAACTGATGAGCAGAGTAAAAATAGTTAAAAAAAATTAAAATGCATCCCCATTGAGAAACCCAGATTTCCCGTTGATGTACTGTTATTTCAACTGCACACTACAAATTATTGTTGGATAACAACCAAGCTGATAGCCCCTGAAGTCCTGCGGCAATTATCTTTATCGCTTCCTCGCATAGCCACTTCATGAAAAATAAACGCTTCCTCATATATTATTCTTGCTGATACAGGCAATAGCCTTTGTAGTCACAATGCCCAGCCACGTGCAATACAGAATCATCTGTCCAATGTATTGAGCAGCATTAATTTGGGACTGTAAACACTGACTGTTCACCAGGAATTCTTGAGCAACGACAAGAGAGCAGACATGCCTGGTGTTTTCCTAATAAAAATATAGTAGTGTCCAGAAATAGATGGAAATGAAAGCACCAGAGGAGGGATGGCCCAAGGGCTGCAACATGCTGGGAAGATATGTTTTTATACACCAGGCATATTGCACTAATCTGATGGCTTGAAGAAAGGGAGTAGAAGGAGAGAACTCTTTAGGATTGTTCAAGGAGTCACAGCTGGAAGCAAAAAGATACAGCTAAATAAGGATAATTTAGTAAGAATATGTGGCTTATTCTTATATTCATTTTATTATTTATTAACACAGCTACACTAGCGACCTACAGTGGTACCTTGGGAGTCAAACAGCTTAGTTCCCGAATGTTTTGGCTCCCGAACGTGACAAATCCTGAAGCGACTGTTCTGGTTTTCGAACTATTTTTGGAAGCCGAACATCCAAAGGGGCTTCCGCAGCTTCTGCTTGGCTGCAGGAAGCTCCTGCAGCCAATCAGAAACCACACTTTGGTTTTTGAACGTTTTGAAAGT